ATAGCAAAACCTGGGAACATGATTACTGAAATGTAACAATTTTGTAAAGTATGCTAATTATATCAATCATTTTTTATCTTGACATTTTATCAAAGTGGTTTCCCAAATGTAGTTTTATATTGTTAAAGGGATGTTTTTAAGTAACAAAGCAATCTCCCAAAATAAGTGATTTTGATTAAACAGTGAGTTATCTAACCCAAAGGAGTATAATTTCAGTATTATACATTAAACTGATAATAAGTAAATTGCAGTTTTAGAGATCCGGCAAATTATGTTTATTGGTGATTTAAATGAAAACAAATTGTTCTAGTTAGGGTCTGCGCCTTTAAACTTTGAAGCGTTGAGATTGGCAAGTGCTAACACCAGCTCCACAGGAACAGGTTAAAATTTCAAGTATGTGGTCATGAAAAGCTCATACATGCACATGCTAATAAATACATTTACGATCTCATAAAAAATTTTTTTACTTCTTTATATTTTCATTTCAATATTATATGCATTAAACGCCTCACCAAAAAGTCTCTTTAAGGTGTTTAAAAAAATGATTCAGACAGAAGACTACCTGTTGAAATGTCTGGTTTATCTAGTGACCTTCAATACATTTACTGTTGCATCAGATTCTGAATAGAGTACCCTTTCCATTCATTCAACTCTTAAAAGAGAACTTCATCTTACTTTTAGCTAACCTCTGCACTCAATGTATGGATATATAGAGAGAGATATATAGGAGAGGGGTCAATAGAACTCCCCCCATAGACCCCCTACTTTTAAAACAAATTACCTTGTTCACTCTACTGCACAAGGTACACTTATTTTCAATGAAAACAAAACACAACCATCTGTCACTTTGATGCGCATAAGGTTGCACTCAGTATACATAACATGGGACCTTTAAAATAAATTGAGCTTTGATTAAAAATAAACTTTGTGTAGTAGTTGATATCTAAATAACTGACAGGGCTAATTATATTTTAATGACATTTCAAATAAAACATATCAAATAGGTATATGTGGGGTCTAGCTATCTTATTTGTACACCTCAATCATTTTATAAGTTCATTCTACCAACCTCCAAACCACACTGGTCAACTTTTGAATCACTATTTTTTCTCATTTTGATAGTCTATCCTTTTTTTGACTTTTGGCATAACAAAATAATACATAATCAATAAAAAAATGTTTTCTTCTTGTAAATACATATTTTTTGTTAGACATGAATTTGTTGCCAAGAAAATATGTCACTAGACTTAACCAAAGGATTCATGCTGAAAGTTCATATTTCAAGCCAAATTAGCAAACATCCTAATTTCCTAATTTTCAATACACTTATATGGAAAGGCTACCAATTATGACATCATATTACTAAGGCCATGACAGGTCAAAACATTTTTGACATCTGATTACACCTGACATGAAAGGACTTGAGATGTTTCAAATGTTTCAAGCCAAATAAGCCAACTTCCTGATTTGAGTCTTGTATCCACCCCCCCCCCCTCCCCCGCCCCATGTACTTCACCAACAGGACCTTTTGGAGCAAGACTGTGTTGAGCTATTCTGTTTCCCATATGGAGACAACCAAATACCCTACTGTTATGATGACCTTTGAGTTCCAGGGTATCACTCAAGGAAATGTTACACTTGCAAGCTACCTGAGAGTATCCCTTACTAATGAGTAAGGCCGAAATATCAAATATCAGCTTAACACGAGCTTGAGGTGGGAGTTCTACATGTATCACATTAACAAGAATCAAACTTTTTCTTGGCCTATGTATCAGATGTCCAGCAAGAGCATTGAGCCAGGAAAGAAATGAGTTTGTAAGTTCATGTTCACTTACTAAGATAAGGCACATTTTACAAGATGTAGGTTTCTTGAAGGTCAATATTCTAATCTCAAATTGAAATAATATAGTAATTTAGACTGACTCTCTCACTCTCCCAGATTGTAACTGAGCATTTACTGATCTTAAATATTGTATTTTAAATAAATTAAAAGTCAATTTCTTTCAAGAATCAATGTGTATCAGAATCAGCAAATAGAGCAAGCCACAACATAACATTCACCCTAAACACCATAAACTTTGCTTGTGGACGTATATTCACCTGCTTGTCAGTAAAATTGTACAAAATTGAAAGAAATGACAGGCAAACGCAGATGGGACATATTTGAGCAATTTTGGGTTTCTCAATGTGTAAACAAATATACCTCTACTTGTTCCATCTCTAAATACAATACAGTCCTACATACACCTCAAGAATATTGAGGCAATTCTTGATTAATCTATTTAGGTTTATTTTCTAATTTGTCCTATTTTCATTAGGAATGCACTGTAACTGTAAGCACAAGCTAGGATGAGACTTTACAATGAACTTACACCCCCATTCTGATACTCATAGCATCTTTCTGTTTCAGGGCTGAGAAAAAATGAGATGTCATGGTTTATCATGATGTTACATCCAAGCTTCATGATGTGTATCAGCTTAAACAAATGGTGGAATGAAGAAAATGATCTCATAACACCACATCACAGCCTCAATGTCAGAGAATTTGTAGATGAAGGTTTTCTTAAAGAAGCAATATCACACTATATATACAAAGAAAAAGATATAGCATTTTTATCAGAACTTCTGGATCGGCCTTAGTATAAGAAAGCAGGGTTCAAAACACATGTGTCTGACTGCTAATAGCAATCACCTTTTACTCTTGACAGTGAGCTTGCAAAAATGAATATTGAATTGCCTATATTAGATGTCACTTTGGGGGTCAGAATGGTAAAAAAATAAAATCTTGAAAATTAAGATGTTTGGGTAGATGAATAAGTCAAAATTGTAAGTAAATACATGTAAAAGTAAATATGTCCAGACATCGGGTAATTCACTTCATTCTAAAAGACGTGACTGCCATAGGTTGGCTGCATTCACTAAGAGACAGGCTGGACAGGCAAGTGCATAGAGCCAAGTTAATTAGTTATTCAATATATAAGTACATATCATCTACCAAGACACTAATCACACTAATAAACAAATGCAAAAATAACAAGGCATTAACATGCAAAATGTCACCACCTGCCATTTGTTACATACACTGACTGCGACACACTGAATGCCAAATCTACAAAAATGTTTGAGACTTTTCCAATACAATACAAAATAGTTAGAGATTGTAACAGTACCAATACAAAAGTTGTGGTGGTGCATTAAAACCTATTATGGAAATATTTCGAGACATGCAACTATAAAACTGAAATCCATCCATCCTGACTTATATTATAGAAAATCAAAGTTGATAGGGTATAACCTTAATTAAGGCATCATATGAGACTGTGTCTTAGACTGTATATTTACAAACGTGTAATCGACTGAAGGTGATGTGAACTCTTAGATGTTACACTGTTGTGTACTATGTTTACAAATAGACAGAAAATATATCTTTCAATTCAAAGGTGAGAAACGTGCCTTGTTTACCTTAAAAATCCCCACCTTTGCACAGATTGAAAATCCTTGTGTAAATTTCATATTGAGCAATTTTTTCTATGTCATTTCTAAATACAAAATGATAAACTTGAAACCTAAATCTGATCTGATTTTAAGAGATTTCTGTATATTTTAAACTCTGCTCAAACAATATTATTTACGGACTACTACCATTTTTCTCATCAATTTGTTTTCAAAACTTCATCGATGAGAAATTCTATTTAAGGGATAATTATAGGAAGATTCCCTTTCATCTTTACCTGTTGCTGTTGATTGATGATTTACATGTAAGCAGGTAATTATAGGCTTAAAAATTCTTTATTTCCTGAAATTTCCCTGCAACACAAAATGAATCCCAGTTTTCTCAAGATTTCTGTATAATTCAGAGTAATGACTACATGCCAGTTTACACAGCCAATATAATTCGACGCCGTTTTGGCATCGAAAAAATTCGGCACTGTTCCGACACCGTTTCGACACCGTTCCGACACCGAAACCTTTCAACACCAAAATTTGTTACCGGACTAGTCAGTACATTTGGTGCCGAGACGGCACCGAAATTTGGCACCGAAACAGCGTCGAAAATCAGATTGCATTTTGGGGGTGTATTCCTTGCTGATTACACTCTTTTCTACTGTTTTGTATTTTGAAACAGGAACATGTCAGATTAATATTTGAACCATAGGTCAGTTAGAGGGTGTATTTGCGACTTGAATACTAAAACACACACCAACATTTTAACTGTTTCTTATAAATACACTAAAAATCTCAAGATCCATAGCAAGCTTTTGAGCTAGCTTTTTAGCTGCTGCTAATGAAATCCCTGGAGAAGGAAGCAGATTTTTTGGGCCCACCCAACCCCACTGAATATAAAATTTGACAGGTTTGACCGAAAATCACTTGAACAGTGCTCAGAATCCAGATTGTTTGTCTCTAGAAGATTGGTAATACACAGCACTGCATAGGAACAGGAGAAAAGTCTAGCTACAAGCCCCTGTGACCCCCTCTAACTACTTGACTGCACACTACACGGGTATAAAAACTTCTCACACAGGGAAAGTGTGTATAGTAGTGGGGGGTCAGATATGAGCTTATAGGGCAGCTCAGTTCCCAGCAGCTTGACGAAATCTTAATGTTTTTTTCTGGCTTGCATAAGGGACTGCATAGGGATGATGTATTAGATGTAGGAGAAATAAAGTTCAACATGATGATATAAACAAAACATTAACATGTCATCATAAACCATACCATCTTCTTCCTGTGGAATACAGAAGGGTCATTCTGATTTACAAGAGTCCTTCTTAGTCTGGTATTTAGCCTAGCTCAGGTCAACCCCTATCTAATTCTAAAGGATTTGGAAAATGGACACAGGGAGGGGCTTAGTTAGAAAGGCTGAATTCCTTTTTATGCCATATGTTGTTAGTACACTATAGAAGAGACTGTGAATAACCCAACATGGAGGGATTTTGAAAGTTGGAGCCACTGAATGAAGATTGGAAGATACATGATATTCATTTCAATTCACTTACCAGATATGCCATCTGGGTTGGTAGCTTGTTGATTTTCTTTATTGCACCTGGGCTCAATGTGTTCATCAACCTGGAAAAATAAACAAATAAGATACATTTAGAGAGATGTTCCACTTTACAGTTTTACTATACTCAGAGGAAGTTAAAGTTGTCACAAGTTATTTTTTGTGACTGAAATTCCCTACAGAATTGCCTGCTCATCACCCCAATTTCCTGATTTTAAGAGAATTAAATATGTTTTAACAAACAATAAAAAGGTCAGTGAGGCAAATTAGAAGGTGGTGTCAAATAACTACAGAAGTTGATTTAGAACTGTGAAGTGCATAAATGATGCATATTTTAAAAATGTCAGTCTTGGTTTAAGACCATGTACACCCCCCCCCCCACCCCATCTTCCCCTAGTCTGTAAAACAGAGATGGAAGATGTACAGATGGGGATGTTCAGGACAATGATACCATTTATGAGAAAACATGACTTACTCGCAAAGTAGTGTTCCATTCTCCAGTGATTTTCTGGGATCATCTGGTGAGGAGAATTTCTTTCTTGTTACAGCCTAGAATAAAAGAAGAAACTTTTTAAGAGATTATGTCTAATATCAGGAGTACATATGACAATTACAAGGGGGGGGCAAGCGCAGAAAATTATTTTGAGCCCCAATGTCTTTAAGATCCAAAATTAAAAAATTATGCCCAGTAATTAAATTTATGTGGGGAGAAGCATATTTTGGGCCTTAAACATTTTTTGAGCCTCACTTTTTTGGGACCCACCCATATCGCCACTGAATAGAAAATAAACATTGTTATGATAAGACTTGTTTCTCATATACCAAACCTCATGGTTCATTTAAAATGAAGCACTTTTTGAAATGAATACTAAATATGATGTCATTGATTAAACTGCTCATTGATTAAAATACATCACATGGTTACATTTTATGGTATAACCTCTGATCTGAGTAAATAGTCGATGACATGACTCAGACATAAAAGAGAAGTGATAATTTTCAACTTGGACAAGTGGTCAAATAGATAGCCCTCAATATACAAGTGTGGGTGGCAGAAATGGAAATGAAAAAATTAATCAAAATTGTTGATGATTACATCATGTATTTAGTAGGTAGGAGAACCATGACAGTGATTTATCAGCATTGTAGCAATTAGGAAATGTACTTACACGATTGACGAAATCGAAATTTATCTTACATTCAATCTCGAACTCAGATCAAACTGTAATAAAGTTGTAACTTTTTTCTATAAATATGACACAGGGGTTTCACTAGCAGTATGGCAATTCTTGTTATTTTCACAAAAAGTATATGTGGTTTTTAGGAATTTTACAATTGTTTCTATGTTAAAATTACGATTTCTGATAATTTGGCCTGTTGTTTTCAATCATTTTGCCTACATCATTAGAAATTCTGAGAAAACCTCTGACACTTTCAGAGAAAAGCCCAAATTTGGTATTAAGGTACTGAGTCACTGTAACATAAAATGTGAGTACAAAAAGATCAACATTGTACGCTTTATTTTAAGTAATGATCAGCCCACACTGGATTATTTTCTAAATACAAGTATGGCTTTATATTGTGAGAAAGTGTTAAATCCAAAGATATAAAGTGCATTTATAAGTAACAAACCTTTTCTTAAATTCAACGCACCTTTATATGTTAGCAATTCTTTATTTTATGTTGGCAGAAAATTATACACTGTACATGTCTTTTATATTTAGCGTTAAAAGTTCAATGTATAACATAGATGATTAGATGTCAACCTTTTTGAGATGTACAGATTCTTTATATTGTTCCTTTTTGAATGAAACATCTTATTTTCTGCCATTTTCTCTATAATTATACAGTGTATTGTGACTGCAAGCCATTAGTTAGAATATATTTTATAATCCTTACTGTATCCCCCCTCCTTTTCTCTCAATTGTAGTTTAGAACATGTATGTCATTAATTTATACATTTGTTAAGGAAGCATAGGCAAAATAAATGCCTGAGTGAACAAAAGCTATAAATCAACTGGTTTATATTTTTGAAATCCTGAAGTTTAAAATTGTGTCTTTTAGAGTAATTTATTGCATTACATCAATGCTATGAAAGCAGTGAAGGACCGACCTTGAAGGATGGTGTAACAGTCCATGTGCTTTTTTAGATACATCATCTGATAAAATTGTATAATGAATTTTAGTCTCAAAATTTTGTTTTTCTCAAATTATAACTAGTTCTATCTTATTAATGGACGTCATGGCAGCTTCACTCACCAGTATGAGTATAATAAGGGGTATGCTGACACAAGGGGCTCGCAAAAAGCTATTTTCAAGAAGCAAAATAGGGCATCTTCACACACTCAGTCTCCACTGCCTTCAGACTGATGGGAGCCGAGTGAAATGAAGCTGAAAAAAGGGTGGGAGTTGCAGATAATAGGGACTTAACCATATCTAAATTCAGCAATCTGGTTGAATGTTTAAGCTGTTCCAGACTCCCAAATCCTGAAGCATGGATTTTTAACAGCAATAGGTGACATCAGAACACTTTGTCTGTAGATTATAGTAACAGTTGATATCAGTCATATTACGCAAGCACAATCAACTTGAGAGAAAATGTGAAATAAAACAGGACAGAAATAAACCCGTTTCCTGTACGGAGCATAAAAAGGTCAAAAGAAGCTGTTAAAATGATTGCTTGAACATTTCGTTTAACTTTGAAACATGTCTAGGCTCAATATAAATACATTTATTGATGACTCACAATAAAGATGATGATAAAACTTAAAAATAGCTCATTGGGACACTACAGTCCATTAAATTTTGATTAAGCTTATGTGTAGATTTCTATCGCTATTCAAAATTTATTAATAATTCAAGTAAACTGATAAGGGTATAAAAAACATGAACAGCTTTTGCCAAAATATACAGATTTTTATTACAAAGACACGAACTTACACTGGGGTAAAGTAGGGAGTTGCATATTGCAACTCTAGCTTTTATGCCTACTTAGAATATTTTGATCATATAAAAAGCATGAAAATATTTGGATCTCCACTCCTTGTATCTTTTGTCAATAATACATCTAGGGAAGAGTAAAAAAACAAGCACCTATACGATGGGAGTGATATCTGTTTTCAAGTCAAGATTGTTTGAAAAAATCTTAAAAATGGGTCCAATTTCTGCAACATGTCGAAAGACAAGGTCAAGTACCCTAATCCCCAAAACTTTATACATGTAGGAAGAACTCCTTAGGTTGAGGCACACGGGTGTAATAACAGGCTTATAAATAGCTGTATATAAGCATTTAGGAGTCTATCAAAATTCAAGAAAAGATTATAGAAACATGTGAGAAATGCTCTCCATTAATAGATACCAGTCAATAACCAATAGTCTTATCTGTGATTATGGTTTATAATCATTGATAACTGCACAGAAAATGTCAAACTATGCTTACAAATTCCATGCATTTTCTCACGATTAGACTTCAATAAATAAAAAGATTTTTGCATTTTTGAATGATTCGAATTGTGCTACTACATCCTGTTTACCTTATTTCTTCTGAATTCAACTATTTCATGTGATATTTGAAGTTTTAAAATTTGACTGATGTGGAAATCTATTTGCAGGTATAGACTTACAGGAATTTAACTAGAGATGTTCTGCTACCTACTTATAAATACTCAATTTATGATCCATTTCAGATAATGTTATAACTTATAAGAATGGTCGACAATCCTTAAATCTATGACATTCCTTCTTTAGAGGTTTTAAAACTTCAATTTTCGACCAAACAAATCTGGCTAAATTTTATTCCAAATCTTGCAAAAAACCAAGACCTGGCAAACCTTGTGTCTACTGACTTAAATTTTTGAATTGTACTTTAAGTTATATGTTAACTTTGAGGCTTTTGAGAGTCTCAAAAACTGATTAATAAACTTCAGTTCTACATAATAAGTATCACAGGCTTTTCCAACAGCTTAGACCTAAGATTACTCTTATGACAGACCATGTTATAAGATTTTCTTTACAACAGTCTCAGACAAGTTGGCCCGAAAAAACTTTAACAGGAATCTGTAGCACCAGCCTTCCTGCCCTCTCAAATCTTCATAAACCAGTTGATATAAACTTAATGTCAGCAGCTTAACATTATCATTTAAAAGGGTAAGAGTAAGAATAGATGGAATCTAGCACAAGGAATTTAAGTCGGCAAAAGTTTAGCATGAACACTGTCATAAGAAGCCCATCCATTAGATCTATCATAACTTGTAGAGTATAACATACAGATAAGTAATGATTACAAATTTAGACCGGCTTTAGCAAAATTTTCTTTCATTCTCTGTCAGCCAGGTGCCTTAAACCATAGTCTTAACTGAGTCTGTGAGATGACAGTTAAGCCCGGTTTGCACTGACAGGTCTTTTTCACCAGAGTTTTTAAGTCCTCTAGAGAGCTGTGATAACCAAAAGTCTATTTTCACAAAAGCCCAATGTGTCCTCCTGAGACCTGTGAAGTCCGATGGAGTCATGTCGAGACTGATCGAGACCTGTATAGTCCTGTAGAGTCCGATGAAATCCCCTCCGACCGTGTGACATAATGTAAGATGGCCTCAATTACCATGGAAGTATCACATGATCAGATTTTAACAAAAAAAGACCGATGAAGACCGGTGAAAGAATGAAACTGTTCATTCCACAAAAAGACTGGCGGTCTTTTTGTAGCGTTCTCCATTGGACTTCACCGGACTCAACAAGATTCCATCAGATTTTTAAAAAGGCCTTTGAAGTCTGACCTAAAAATCCTGTCAAAACCAGCAAAAGACCGCCGGTCTTTTCTCCCATTGGAAATACACAGGGATCACAAAAGACTGGTCAGTGTAAACGGGGCTTTAGTCTTGCATATAAGACTGATGAATATCCGTTTTCAGGAGGGCAAATGAAATTACACATTGAAAGACAAGTTTTCTCATGATTTTTGAGAATGATGGCTTAAGCATGTAGACAAAACTTGACATATTTTTGAAAGGTCTTGTAAGACTCTAGCCAGGCTGATCTTCATAATAAGCCTTTAAGTCACATTTCATTCATATGTCATTCAAAAAAATAAACCAGTGCTATCTATTGCAGAATTTATTATTAGTGAGCATATTCATATCTTATGAGGACACATATTAGAAGGGTCTTCCCTTATCCCGTGCCAGGACTATAGTCCTGAAAACGTCTCAATCTTTTGCCTGTACTATTACATCATGGGAGAATTTTCTACGCCTCTTACACTAAAGATACCTACTTGAATCCACAATTATCTGGGTTTACCAGCAGAACATTTTTTTCTTTTTCATCGAGAAAGATTCCATCACTTTTCAAGATGACAGTTGGATTTTTCACTGGCCCGGAAGTACCAATAAATGAAGGAATTTGACAGTTGAAATAAGTTGAATATTACACACAAATATTGCGATCAAAAATGAAAATAACTTCATTCTGCTGATAAATTGTGGATTCAACTACACGAAAAGAATGCTAAAAGGAATCTATTGAAGTAGGTATCTTAAGGGTAAGAGGCGTAGAAAATTCTCCCATGTTGTAATCGTACAGGCAAAAGATTGAGATGTTCTCAGGACTTTAGTTCTGGCACAGGATAAGGTCTTCTCCTGAAGTTCTCCCTGGGGGTACTTGAACCATGGGGTTATTTCGACCATTGGTGATTATTCACATCCCTAAGGTGGGCCCTGAAAATGAAACTGGGGCCCAAACTCCCTACAATTATGGGGTAATTTGGATTAATAATTAACATTACTGAAACCAGGAAGAAGTAACTCCATACATCAATAGAGGACCCAGTCCTACAGTAAGCTTAACTAAAATTCTTTTACCCTAGGCCTACCTCAATCCATCGTTGCATTTCATCCACAGCTAAGTTAGTGTAGAATTCCATTTCTTCATCTCGTTTAGACTTTGGATACCACTGATCATCATCATTATCACTGTCAGCCATTGTGACAAGATAATTATTTCCTCACTGATTTAAAGATTTGAATATTGAAATTTTGAAGCGAAAAATTTCGGCCCCAAAAATTATCCAAATGTTGGCCAATCTTTCCAACGTACACAGAGTTATATTTATCCAAAATTAGACTTCAAAGTGATGTATATATAATCCAATGTGTGTTTCTCTTTGTATTTAATCCATTTATACGTGTTTCATTGCTTTATTAAACGTAGAAATAATGAAAAACTGCACAAAAATATAAGAAAACAAATTTGGCCCACTTCCGATTTGCGAGGCTCACTCCACAGTTTAAATTCAAAAACTACGATGAAACACCGAACGCACTATGCATTAGCTTGACAAATACGTTATTGGATTAGCGAACGTAATTAGCTTTTTTCTGGTAAAGTATATGGACTGAAAGAGAATAGGAAAACTCGTTTCAGATAATATCGATCAGACACATTGTCGTTTACTTTTAAAATCAGATTATGATTCAAAAAAATTCGAATTTGAAAATGTTATCATAAAAACATATTACTCCAAGAATAGTTTCAACATGCTAGAAATAGTTCATGTATTAAAATTGGTAAACGTATATCTCATTAAGACGGTTTAGATTATTTAAAATATTTCTCTAACAACACATGGTAACAGAAACACTTTTCCATTATGGATGGAAAACTATTTGGAGGGCTTCAGTAGTACATATGAATTACTGAGCCTGAATTTAATTGAATGTTAGAATTACTGAGCCTGAATTTAATTGAATGTTAGTATTTCAGCCCTCTTACCATGTTCCCTATAGTCAGTAAGTCTAACTCGCCTATATCAGCCCATCATTTAATGGATTTCATATTGTTCCTGATGTGCAAAGAAGGCTATGAACTATTGAACAATTTAAAAAAAAATTTGGCCCAATTATTTGGAGCCGCCGCCGCCCCCCAAAAATATTGTAGGGCCTCTTTAGTTGGCATTACTTGACCTTTTTAATTGACCTTTTACGGCCGTTTTTTTCAATATTAGGCCAAATTTTCAAAAAACAGGCCATAAATTTTCAAAATTTTGGTTCTAGGGCCCTTAAAGGTTTTCCGCGCAGCCATAGGATGGGCCGAAAAAAAACGTTGGCCCAAAAATATTCTAGGGCCTCTTTAGTGGGCCTATTTGGGCATTACTTGACCACTTTGGGCCTTACTTTTAGAATTTTAGGCCAAATTTTCAAAGAATGGGCCATAAATTTTCAGAATTTTGGCCCAAATTTTGGTTTTAGGGCTCTAAAAAATTTTCTACGCTGCCCTAGGTTTGGGCCCAGGAAAAGATGTTGGCCCAAAAATATTATAGGGCCTTTTTGGGCATTACTTGACCTTTTTGGGCCTTATTTTTTCAATGTTAGGCCAAATTTTCAAAAAACTTGCCATAGATTTTCAAAATTTTAGCCCATATTTTGGTTTGAGGGCCCTAAAGAGCCCCCCCCCCTCCCTTACAAAAAGCTGACTATGGGCATGTATATTGTACAAACCCATTTCACTAAGACCATGTATGGTTCATACCCTATTTTTTGTTCTAAAAATGGCATTGCCTGAAGTTTGCATGCAATAATAACAAATTCTTTGGAGCTTTGTGTAAATAAACAATTAGCTGCAAATCTAGGTTCAATAATTCACCCAGTGTCTTTTCATTTCATTTTGGAGAAATATTAACTGATGTGTCATCTATTTATTTGACTGAGAGGTAGAATCATACTTCATAATTTTTCAAAATTACTTTCAAACTCCCACTTTCCAAGGTAATGTTTGCATAGCTTTTATCAAGGGGGTTCACTTTTCAAAAAATTCCAGGGTAGTTCACATTTGACCACTTTGGCCCAAAATCACTGGAAATGTGCTCAGAATAATGAAAACTGCATGATTTTGAGTGAATTTTTGACCAAGGTGGGGGCTGTGGGCAAGTAAAGATTTTTTCTAAGACTAGTGTAACCTTTATACTTTTTGATCCAACCAGATTATAGAAATATACGAACCAGAGGGTTCATATCTAAAAAAAGTCAGGAATTTTTGGATATGTTGTATTAGGGTCATTAGGATATTTGCATTTATTTACAATACCATAGCAATACTCGAACACAAAATTAAAAACATAAAAGCAATTCTTTTTTCTATTCAAAAAATCCTTTTTAGACAGTTTTTGTGTCATCAGTAATCAGCTGATATATTATTCCCTCTGGTGTACTGCTACCGAATACAACTATATTGTGAGGCATCAACACTACTAAACATAGGAGTCTTAGCTATTGATGTATTCTGCACAGGTGAGTGTATTTTTATCTGCCTCATATGAGTGTCCCTGCCATTCTGGTGATTTGATATAACTGCAATTTGAATCATAAAGGTCCGCACTGATTTACTTTGTGAGTCTTTGATAGGTACAAGAATCCAGCCTCCAGGTTCAGAGAGTTCAATCTGTTCAACTTCTGTTAAATCATTAAGGTGGCTGCCAGCTCTGATTGATATTCTGAAAATAAAAACATATTTTCAAGGTGAATGAAAGGGAGTTAATAAATATATTCTAAAATCATTTATCATATTGTTTTCATCTGTGCCAAACTTAAGCTCTTTCTAAGCTTGGTAAAAAGTAAGAAGCACAATGTAGTCATTTTTGATTCATTAAGGTTGGTACCATATCAAAATAAAAAATTGGATGAAGCTAATATCTAATGTTTTGAAAATGTATTTTATTTGTTTAGTAAGTTATCTGATGTAATAAAAATATCACACATTCTGTCACAGTCTTACCTATTTGGAGTATAACTTTCGTCTGACTTGTAGTCTGCATATATACAAATGTCAGAGATTGTGGTTTTTCGTCGGAACTGGATATTTATAAGGTGTGGTTGAGGACCATCTGATTGCCAGTATGTGTCTAGAGAATTATCCCTTAGCTGCTCAACCCCAAATCCTGAAGAGTAAAATGTTACAGCATAGTGGTTACAAACTACAGTATTCAAAATCAATTAGGGAGGCAATGTTGACCATGTAGGTAATTGCCTGACACTCAATGCAGGCCTTCCTTTGTCCGACAATTACCTGTACCTCTGTCTCTCTGTCCTCTAGTGCCCAGTTTTGAATCCACATGTACATGTATCTACACAAATGGAAATCATGAAAATTATGAAAATGTGATTTATATGACCAGTTTTGTACTAACTAAGGTAAAGATTTTTAACAGACAATTGCGAATTATTGATGAATGATGGCAAAACATACAGCATCCATACATATGGTAACATTCAGGTGCTTACCTGCTTTACATGATGAAAGAGTCCAGACTGCTTGGTTCCCAACTTCTCGTAAATTACCCTCTCGTTCGCCCTTATATGGATCAATGTCATGTCCACCACTAAATTTCAGAGCCATCTGTATTTGAAACTGAAACATTCAAATCAATCCATTTTCAGAAAATAAAATTTGAGGGTCGGAATACAACCACATACAGTATGAACACTTACAGTATAAATTAATATTTATTTTTCTTATTTTGTGTTTTTTATCTCTTTTTTAGCTGAAATTCAGCAAAAATTTAAGATATTCAGTGTATATGTAGATTGTTTGATATTGTATTACCTAAAAGGCTAAATATAAACCTTAATGTTTGGCTACTTACGTATTTTCTTTGTATATTTCACAAAATTTCAAATTTTCAAATTTGGACCGAAGAGCACTTTTTCATTACGCGTTGTCCTTTCGCCAAAATAAAAAAGTTCGCAAGATACTTTCAATCGGTTTTTGTATGCTTCAATTAGACATATTGAGAGGAAATATACAAAAATACAATTTTATGAAACAATTCTAATTTCTATAATGCATGCATTGTATTTTGAGATTCGAAAGGGCAGCACAATGCTCGAACTATTTTATTGTAAAAAGCTATAACTGTGGTGGTAACTTTTCTTTTCCTCCGGTGCACTAGTGGAATTGCAGAATATCGAGGTTGTAACTTTCCTTGTTTGTTATCGATGTTTCCTCCATAGATAAGTGACATATGATAAGTAAACTTACTTGAAGGATACAATAGGTAAGTAGGTATTCACTTATTAAGATCTAAATGCTAGATATTTAGTGCTGATGAAATAAATGTAACTTTTTTCTATTGTTGAAATGTATCCGCCCCCTGATATCTGTAACCCGGGGATAATTTAGCTTCTAAATAATGGGCCTTGGTGGCACTGTACCCTATATTATTAACAGTATGTATAGTAACTATATAACATATATTTCTGGAAAATCCGTCCTCTGTTGTAGAAACAAAACAGTGCCTCAATGGATTACAAAAAGTTTGGTAATGATGAAGGAAGGGAGGATTTTCAACCTGTTCAGATCAACAGCTCCATGTATGACGTCCCTCTTCAGGAACAGCAGCCAATAGAGGGCACAAAATTCAATGGCCAAAATGCGGTAAACTATTTCATGAAAACATTTTTTAATTATTCAAGAAACTGGTATCTTTATTATTCCTTTGATAAGTCTAACACTTTTACAGTAGATGAATCAACTCTGCTAACATAGGCCAGTCAAAAGTACATGTAAAATGAGAACTCCTTTACTTTGATCATGGTTATTTATTTATTATTTATTCACCCAAAACCAGAGTTGTAAATAACTTTTTATATTTTACCACCAAAAAGTATTGTTCACCTTCGAACATGTACAGCACATATAGGATTGGTGCAATATAATTTTTAGTTTATCTGAGATTAAACAATTAGTCTCAAGTGTGCATTGTATCAACATTCTGATAATTTTTAGGAATTTTCTAGTCCAGTTAAGTTTGCTGAAACAGATAAAGATCTTCGTAAAGGAAACTTCATCGATCCTGCAGGAGACAGAAATGATGCAGTCACCCCTTTAGAGTACGTAATAGTTTTTATCAATTAATACTTTCACCAGCTTGATTGATTAAATATGAAAATAACGCATGTGAACATTCCAACAACTGATGAAGATTATATTAAAAATTAATCCTGAATTGGGAAGCCTAAAAATAATTTAAGCAAATAAGGCATGATGTTGAATGATGTTCATATGTTTGAAATTATAATAAAACTTTTCTCATTCTACAGTAGAAGTCTTAATACTTGATATACCTCAAAGATTTCATTAGAATTTCTGGCAACAGGCAAAAACAAAAACTGAGAACAGTTATGACTTTAACATAGAGACAGTTGCAAAAATCCTTAAACAACAGGCTAGGTTAAAACAACCAGAAATTATGGATCTACTCTGTATATAAGAAAACTGATCATAAGTTAATACCTCTTTCAGGAAGTTTCAACTTTTCATACGGAAAATTGTCGATCATCTTGGATTCCGAGCATTCACTGTCTTGCTCATCATAGCTGATACCATCATTATAATCGTTGATCTTGCCACCAAGTCTGATGGACGAACAGCTCTTGAGATTCTCTCGCTTACACTCTCTACATATTTTGTTGTTGAAACAGCAGCCAGGATATTTGCTGTTGGGTAAGGTTGTTTGTTTGTTTGTTTGTTTGTTTTATTTATTTCCTAAATTCCAAATAATATAAATAAGTACAATCACAATAGTTGAAGACACCCCAAGGGGCATATGATCCACGTTATGTAATCACCAGAAGTGGTGACATATTGTTATAGTCTCTTTTTTCTGAATATTGTTCAGCATTCAGCTGTAATAAATTCATCTGTAACAAATGGCAGGTGGTGACATTTTGCATGTCCTTTGTCAGTCAATTTTGCTATCATAAAGGATTGGTATCGATATGGAGAACTGAATTCAACCATGTTTTTCTCTTAAACCAATCATTGAAAACATTCTGTAAAAAACACAGTATTTTATGTTATGTTGACTTATTGACAACAATTTAATGCGAAAATTATATAGAAATATTTTATATAACTGTTTTTGTTAACATTTTTTTGTTTTTTAGTGCAATTGTTTTTGCTCCTTTCTACCAATTCTTGAGAATGAAATAAAATGTCTTTCCTAACCTTGTTGGAACAAAATAGCATATACAACATATTTTAGACCTCTCAATATTATAGTTATACAAAGGAATTTTTGGTTGGTTTTAAAAAAGTATTCAAAAAATTAAAACAAAATCCCCCTAAAATAGATAAAAATCAAGATAAACCTTTTATTTCATTAACAAGATACTTTTTTAAAATCAACCAAAATATACTTTGTACAATTACAATATTGAGAGACCTAAACATGTTGTGTTTATGTCGTTTTGTTCCAATGAGGTTCGGAAAGATGTTTCATTTCACTCTGGAAACATGATACCAAGAACAAAACAAGTGTTTGATGTGTTTTCTAAAACAATATAGATGAAAGTATATATATATTTTTTCAAATTATATTGTTACCATTCAAAAGATGACCATTAAATTGACACTGTGTAAAATTTTCAGAATTTTTTGATGACTGGTTTAAGAGAAATGTGTGTTCAAAAAGTTCGCCATATCGATACCCATCCTTTACAATACATTTACAATAGTCAGGACAACAAGATAATAGATAACATTTGTGTTGGTCTAAATATAATAAGTACACATAATTCAATACATAATATAAAGAAAGGTTTTAAGTCATAAAGTTTAATGGAAGTGAATAAGAATTATGTGATCAGAGGCTTGGAAAAGTGTTTATTAGTAAGGAAAGTGTTTATTTGTAAGTAAAAGTGTTTATTAATAAGGAAAAGTGTTTATTTAGAAGGAAAAGTGTTTCTTTGGAAGGAAAAGTGTTTATTGAAAAGTGTTTATTTGTAAGGAAAAGTGTTTATTTGGAAGGAAAAGTGTTTATTTGTAAGGAAATATGCATATTTGTATTCAAATAACCCCACCCATATACACATAAGTATTTACAAGTATATGGAATAAATACATGTCATGTCTATTGATTGAATGTTTTGGATATTGGAAATATCCAGAGACAAATGGTTATACATGTACAGGCCCGTAGCCAGAATTTTCCAAGGGGGGGTTTGTTTTTCTAAAAAATTCTAAGGGGGGGGGGTCACATTGGCAAATATGGCCAAAAATCACTCAAAAAGTAGTCAGAATGGTGAAAAACTGCATGATTTTGAAAAAAATTTTGGCCAGGGGGGGGTTCGCCCGAACCCCCCGAACCCCCCCTGGCTACGGGCCTGCATGTATGTAAAAAGTATGAATTATCCTCCTTTAAATCCCACTTGGGTAGCAACACAATAGAATTTGCTGTGGTTTATTTTCAAGAATGTATGGTTTTATCAAAAGGAAAGTGCATTATTTTTCTATTGTTTTTAAAGAATGTACACTTGGCAAGCTATCAAAAACAAGTGAGACATAAATGACCATTGACAGTTTTTGATAGTTTTCATTCCCTAAAAACAATATACAAAAATACATGTACCCTTCTCTTGTTACTGTGCATTCTTTAGAATAAAACAATTTATCAATTTTTGTTGCTATCTACATCATTGGTCTTATCTTACTTACAAATATTCTGCTGTATTCAAATTCAATGTTCTGGACTGGACAGTCACCTGTAGTGCACTGACAGCTAGACTAATTATAGCCCATTCAGTCACTTACATCAACTCACACTCATGAGGTCAATGCAACCAACTCTTTTTGTTGTTACAATTAATTGGCTATATAACAACAAATTTTAACCAATAAGAGCCAGGGTCATTGTGAGCCTGGTTGAAGTTTGCAAAATTCACAGTTTGAATAGTCAACACAAAAGAAATAAAATTTTCAAGATTAGATCATTGACCATTTACCTGCAATATACCATTTACCTGTAATAAGAATGTGTGTGATTTAAGTAAGATAAAGCATTCGAATTCGATTTGATAAGAAATAATAACCTCAGGCCTTCGGACTTCGGTGTATTATTTCTTATAAAATCTCATTCTTATGCTTTATCCAGTACATATTCTTGTACTGATTATAATTTGCTTAATGATATTAAACCAAACATGTATACTGCTTTTATTTCAGTTTCAAAAACTTCTTTGGTGATTGGAGTGTTGATTTCATGGGGTCTGTCAAGGCCAAGTGGCTTGACTTGCTGGATCTTGTCATAGTGGTGGTAACATTTATCATATCTGTCGTATATACTGCAGCTGATCTTAGTGGCGGGAGCGCTGGCTTTGGCAAGTAAGTTATTTTCGTACATTTGGGTTAACATCTTATGTAACTGTCTAATCTTTCACACTTTCATGTTTTTGATGACACTTTAATTCAAATGTTAAGACATGAATGTTGTTGAGCATTTAGCAGACATAGGGCCTCCAAATATATTTTCATTTTGGTATTTATTGAGGCCTTTTTTAAATTCAGGCCATATTTCTAATAATAAAAAATGGGCCTCCGTTGCATCAAACTATTCATTTATATTTTTTCAGATTAATTGTTGCTGGGCGTCTTATCCGATTGGTCCGTGTATTCCGTCTATTTATGGAGAAACGTAATCTGGAGAAATCAACAAGACTCGTTGTTTCTCAAAATAAGCGAAGATTCCAAAAAGATGGGTTTGACCTAGATTTATGTTATGTTAATGGTAAGAACCTTTTCCTTGCCCAAATACTGTTCATCTGTTCAAGTGCTTATTCATTCAATTTCTCTCTAAAATTTAGACAAAGCATTAAGCCTTTCTTTTATCTCGATACACTTTCGATTGTTTTCTCCTTGTATTTTTTCTCTTTTTCAATTCTCAATATCATGAACATCACGACTTTCCATTCAATTTATATCTAAAATTTGAACAAAGCGTTAGCTTTTCTTGTAACTCTTTACACTTTAGAGTGTTTACTCTATGAACTTTTTCTTTTGCTCAATTCTCCATATCATCATATTTCTCATTTTAAAATGGGAACATCTAGACTTTAACAAAGGGAATGTCTATATATTTTTCAGATAGATGTATTGCAATGTCATTCCCTTCTAGTGGAATCTGGGCCTTGTATAGGAACCCAATTGGGGTGAGTAGGACATTTCCTCTTCTCGTGTCATTTCTAAACTTTTATGTTTCGGCTCATTCATTTAAGGGACCAGGTCAACATTTCAGTGTTGCCTCAAAGAGTATTTGATAATACTTTCAAGTTAACCCTCTCCTTCCTCCCAAAAATGTTCCTGAATATTCATTATTTTTTTTCAAATTGAGAGTTGCTCCCTTTAGAAAATACAGTTGACTTACCCTATACCCACCTTGGTAATTGACTATTTTTGTAGACTTACTTCAATATATTGACTTTGTCCCTTAGTTGTGTATTGCATATTATCTTAACAAACAAAGTTTGATAGCGAAACCCTCCATCCATCTGTCTGTCTGTCCATGTGATAACTCAAATACCTGTTGATAGATTGGTTGAATTTCATAGGAAGATACCTTATGCCCTCAAAACTTCTGATTGAGAAGGAATTTTTAAATTTCCTGAAAATTTTAGATGGCCACCCAAAACTTGGATTGGTGGAAAATTCAGATCAATTTGAGCGTTTTTAACAGAAGATTATAAATATTAGATTGAGACATTTGTAAGATTTATGAATAATTTGTTTGTTGGGATTTGCCACTCTGTGCTTTGGCATTTGTTTATTAAAATACATGTAGTTTGTTTATATAATATTTACATAATTATATGCTTGATATAGCATTTATAACCTAGATTTGGATTTGCTTTTACTCATAGATTTATAGTTTCATAAGTATTCTTTTTAAGTGGCTATTACCTTGAGATAACTCCACAAAGATACATATCACTATCAAGACACAAACATTTCTTGAATACTATTTGTAACAATTGAATTGAGTTAAAGCGCTTGTGGAGAATTTCCTATCATTTTAGTTGGATTCAATGCTAATTTTGATGCCGTGCAGTAAAACCTGTGAATGTGAACTCCAAATAACTCCCACATTTCAGAATTTTTGTCGACACTTTTAGCTAGTTCCACCTCTGTTCACTTTCAACAGGTTTTACTGTAACAGTATTGTAGTATTGTATTGTGTTTTAATTACTTAATCTATGTATTTGTTCTCTTTGTATTCTGCTTTGTTAAGTTATTGTTTTACATATATTAACTGTTCAAATTAGACCCTATGTTATGTTGGGGCAGACAACAGATAACAACAACTGGGACTCTATTTAACCATAACCTTCATAACACCACAAAAACCTCTTTGATAACAATGCTTACAGGAAACAATTATGCCTCATGAAGTCAATTTTCAAGTAAAAGTCAATTAGCATTCTATTACACATGTTGCGACTTATTTTCCTAATGTCACCTTTCATACTGTTGTCTGCTCCAGAGTTGTTTGTTTGTGTATACTTTTATTGCTAAATAGGGGGGTTAAGCTACCATTTTAGTTGGGAACATGTATGAGAATGTGAAGAGTTTTGTTCATCTGGGCATTAGTTTTACCTATATCATAGTATTTTAGTATTTACTTGCCTATTGAGTATAAAGGTACAGTGAAACCTGAAAAGTGGGACATTTCTGTTTAGTGGAACACTTTTCAAGACTAATTGGCTAATGTTAAATAAATCTCTTCAAGCGGAACACTTCCCAAGTGGAAAACATTTTCGAGGTACCAAAGGTGTTTCACCAAGACAGGTTTTTCTAGTTGCAATCAGGTCCCACGCAAATCCAATTGAGAAGGGGCAGTAAACCCTGGGTTCATGTACAAGTTCTCATAAAATATGTAGCTTAATCTCCCTAGTATATAACTTAAGCTTGGTGTGTGTTTCTTAGGAGGTGGCTAGGTTCTTTGACTATTACCATGAGGGTCAATACCGCATCTACAATCTCTGTAGTGAGTAATAACATTGTTCATTATAGTTATGTTCACTTAACTTAATTACGTATCTGCTCATCCTAATGCCTTGTTATTATGTGAAGTGGTGACATATTGTTATATTAGTAGTCTCCAACCTTTTTGGCTGGTGTAATGGTGGTTGGTGTTTGGCAGTTGGTGTTTGGCATCTGTAACAGCATTTGGCAGTCAGCATCTGTAACAAATGGCTGGTGGTGACATTTTGCATATCAAAGCCTTGTTTCTCTCTGAAAGGAGAAGTTTTAAAAAATAAATTCATTTGTGAGCTCAAGTACATGCACTATTATGCCAACAACTCTAAACCTAATATAATCAGGGATTCAATGCATCCTTCTGGATAATTGAACCAGCCAATGGCCCAACTTATAATTTCTATATTTCATGGGTAAGACTCAAACCATAATGACCCATAATAGTTTTGGAAAGCACATGTCTATTAATAAAACTTATCTTCTGAGTAAAGCTTCATATTGATATTTGTGTATACCTTATAGTACTGCATTCTTTTTCATTCTTTTTCACTTTTTTTTAAATTCTATTATTTATTCAAAAACATGATTCTGTGGCAATACTTCCTGAGTATCACTGTCATGTAATTTACTAATGATAAACCATTGTGCAAGTGTTTTGTGAAAAAACATACATAAATTGCAAGGTATTGTTTAAAACGCTTCATCCTTTTATTGTATGTACAATATTACCCATTAATATGATATCACCTGTTTTTATTTTTTCATGTTTAAATTTTATTGTCTTTTTGTGAAAAACTAATGAAGTGCAATCAGTTATAATTATTTTAATACTTAAAATGTTGTATATTTTTATTTATAGATTAATATTAAACTTATTTAGTTGATTTTATTGATGATCGTTTCCAGGTGAGCGGACTTACGATTATGATAAGTTTCACAATAGAGTGGAGAGAGTATACATCGATGACCATAATGTTCCAAAAGTCAGGTAATTCACACAGTCAATTAAACAGTAAAACCTGTCTAAGTGGAACACCTGTGGAACCACTAAAAAGTGTTCCACTTGGGAGGTGTTTCACTTAAAGAGATTCATTTAAAATTCAGTTGGACTGAAAAGTGTTCCACTAACAGAGGTGTTCCACTTACACAGGTGTTTCACTGTATACACTTTAGATGCAAAATAGAGTGAAACCTAGAGAAATCAGGGAGAATTGAAGTGATCACACAAGAATGTAAAACTCTATTTGATAATGACAGAGTAGGATTGAATAAATAAATATAAGCCATGTTAAACAGACATTACACTTTAACTATGAAAATTGGAAAATAAAATTTGCTGCTTCAGATATGGAGAATTAGAATGAGATGCATAAAACATTATATAAGGCAGTATTGTATGGACAGGGGACATGATCTGCCTATTATAATTATGTCACCATCCAAAAGAAAACATTGTTATAGTCTCCAACCTATTTTGCGGATGTTGTCTAGCTGTTTGTGTTTGATGGTTGGCATCTGTAACAAATGACAAGTGCTGACATTTTGCATGTTAATGCCTTATTTTACATTTTTGCTGTTATAGTGAGATGATAAGCTATGCATCAAGTGTACGATTATGGCTGGCATTAGATCCCAAGAATATCATAGCAGTACACTGTAAGGGAGGTAAAGGGCGGACTGGGACCATGATCTGTGTATATCTTCTAGATAGTGGAGAATTAGAAGCAGCCTCTGTGAGTAGAAACTAATCAATTAATTTCTTCATCCAAATTCTGAAAACCCCAAAATGTACGTTCATTATATCACTTCTTGGAGGGTGGCTTTAGGGTTTAAAACAGTATTTTCAAGATATTAGGATATTCAGTGTCTAACCTAAAGCCTCAAAGTTATGGTTTAGTTTAGGTAGTTTTCTTAATTTATTAGTCAAGTTCACTTCAATTGTACATTGCACTTTACTTTTCACAGGATAGTTTAGAGTACTTTGGAACAAGACGAACAGACTTGAGTGTGGGGAGAAAGTTCCAGGGAGTTGAAACACCAAGTCAGGTGAGAGGACAAGTTGCAAATTAAAGGAGTATTTAAACTGTTAAATATCCTATCATTTTCAATGTTTGCATTTACTCATTTCCATGAATATCCCAATTATGGTAATAAAAAAAACTAAATTGACATTATTTCAAAGTTTTAAAAAGAACCACGGTGAGTTTGATTAAGGTGATCTCTATAAATGTTAGCTTCGTCGGATAACTTATGTTGAATACTTTTGTAATTTCAGAGTCGATATGTTGGCTATTTTGAGGTAGTAAAGAACAAGTTCAACCTGAAGCTTCCACCAAATAAACCAATGCGTATGAAAACACTCACGATCAACTCAATAGCAGGTGAGATGCGTAAACTGAATTGCAAAGATTGCCAGCCATCTTGAAAACATGATGCCGATGCCCAGATTTGGTTTTACTCATATTAGAATGGCCTTATGTCACAAATATTATTGGGGTCAATTTAAAGTAGAATGTAATCAACTTGCATCATAAGATCAAACACAAATACATGTACATGTATGTCCCAAATTCACTCAAAAATCTCTACTTTCAGGGGTTGGCAAGGGTAATGGCTGTGACCTCCGTATGGAACTTTATCATGAGAAAAAGAAGATATTCGATTGCAGTTTTGGTCCAAATTGGCACTGCAAGGTGAGACTTGATTTGCTCTCATTTTTTTCCTTTGGCTAATATGTCAGAAAATGTTGATTAAATAGATGCCTCCAAACATTGTGGATATATATCAGGAGTTGAGTTGAATTTTCATAACTGTCTGCCTTTATCAATAACATGTTTTTTCAATGAATACTTGTATATATACCCAATATTACCCATCATCAGATTTTAAAAGATGTGACCTTGAACAGGATATCTTTTCCTTGACTAAAACTGCTCATTTAGGTCCTGTGCTACAATAAAATCATTTCATTTCCAGTCAGTGCATAATGCAGAGAAGAATTGTGTAGTGACAGAGATGGATCTGGAAACTTCGCCCATTCTTGTACAAGATGTCAAAGTAATGTTTCACTGTAGTTCTGTAAGTAGATCCCTCCAAGTTTTGAATGTCAAATTGACATGTTTTAAATGTACTGCTTATGTTGAAATGGAAAACTGCTTCAGGAATCCTAATCTCGACATTAACATTAATGTGCAAGAATAAATACAGAGAGTAAATTCATATTATATGGTCTGGAGTAGGGATGTCATGGTTTCCCGATATTGTCCCGTACCTCGAGATTTTGGGAACGGGACTGTACAAGACAACCCCCGTGTACCAAATATTTTGGTCCATGTCCAGGATAATTTAATTTTCTGAAATGGCCCTAAAACTTCACAAGTGCACGATAAATATGATAAATATTTTCGTCCCGTGACATCCCTAGTCTGTAGTAAGGCAAATGAATGACCTGTAACCTCCAATGATTCCTTATGTATGTCAAAAGAGCATTTTTATTAGTGTTTATTGAACGGCCCTCGTAGAGTGAAAATGAGAGAAATCAGAAAGGAATAAAGCAAAGACATGAATCAGTCAACCCTCTAAAAATGTTACATTGATTGAAATTTTAAAAAAATAATGTAACTTAACTTTCTGTTTTATTTCCAGTCTGTACCCATAGGATATGAGAAATGTCCATTTTATTTCTGGTTCAACACATCATTTATAGAGGATAACAAGTGAGTATATATTATTATCCTATCTATATTCCCCTCAGGATATACCCCATATCCAAAACCTCCCATAACATAACTCTCATTTATTAATAAATATTGATTCAAATCTGTATCAATTCTCTAAATAAATTATTCACCGTTTAATAATAAACGTGATAATGAATCCTATAAAAGATAATTTAATCACAGTATATTTTTGGAAATGCCCTAATACATAATACTGAATGATTTAAGACTGTAACACTGCCAAATGAAACTTATCAAAACAACACTGGAAGGGGCCAAAATTTTCAGATCAACGGATGTTCACATTTCAAGAATTTCAGACAATGGAGTTAACGATAAAATTGGGGCCAAAAAAGTGTTCACAATGAAATGTGTTCGAAAAATAGAGGTGTTCAAATATCCAAGTTTTACTTTAGTACACATCCAATATTGTATGTGATTCTAGGCTGGTGTTGATTAGAGAAGAGATAGACAATCCTCATAAGGAAAAAACCTGGGAGACTTTTAAAGAGGACTTTTCAATAGAGGTCACCTTCGAAGACGCAAACAGCAATGCAACAAGCTAGCCTGACAGAGCAGAGCGCCATCTGGTCATGCTTATTTTACCGTGTTTTTATCGAGAACTTGAATGAAGTGCTTGGTTTTTTGTACTGTCTCCCTTTTAATTTTGATTTTGTAATGATGTGTTTGTGTTTAATGATTAGCAATGAGCTTAAGAACAGGGTTCTTCTTTGTTTTATTAATTTTTTGGGGCCAGTGTTTGTATGTAAGTCATTAGTTGGGAGCTGATACTTAATATTGCCACAAGGGAAAGTGAAGTATTAAATCCCAGCAGGGCCCTTGCCTGAAAATGTAATAATTGGTGAGGCAAATTTAAATAGGCGAGGCAAAATATAATTACCTGGAAATACTAGACTGAGCAGCTCCTCCTTGTTCAGGAGACTCTACATTATACATAATGTGCTTAAAGTTTAAATACAATATGGAATTCATAATTATTGTGTACATGTATAAGGTTTAGGAAATAAGGTATTAGATATTGCATAAAGTACATTTTTGACAATACTCATTATTTACATATGGATTATTAATTTTATTTAAACCTTAAAGACATTCACTTATCTAGGCATGATATATCAAATGTAAGCCAATCAGAACACAGTATTTAAGATAAAATGTAGAGTAGAGTACATGTAATACAACAGAGTTTGAAAGTAATTTTTTTAATGATAATTGTACAAAATATTTTTCAATGTATAAAATAAATTTAAGCACATGACTCAATGCATTGTGGACAATTAAATGAACTCATTTTATGCACTATTTTATCCCAGGCATTGAATTCTGGCTACTGCCCTCATCCAAAGTCTTGTTACAAAACATTTGTGCTTGAAATCATGTACATGATGTAGGACATCTGCATAATTTTTGATTTTGGAATATTGTTCATAAAAGATCTTCAAAGCTTCTAGTAATGCACTATTGGCAGATTTCTATGAGTAGACTGTCTGTTTCAATATTATTGTAATGACCTTCGATAGCAAGTCGCTACTACAGTCTCAGCTGTAGTGGCTAGCCCTTATGGATCAGGGGTAGAGCGTCTGACTCGAGAGCGGGAGGTCCTGGGTTCGATTCCCGTACGGGGCATTGAATTTAGCACATTTTCTTTCGAGTCTAGTATCTAGCTCGGTACACTACAGCTCCCCGACGAGCGTGCCCAAGGGTCGTTACATTATGGACCATAAAGTTTATTTTCCAAAATGCAAATAATTTTCTTACAATCAAGAACATTATTTGAAGCTGCTGTAATACTATTTGTATTATATAATTACTGTTATATTATATTGTAAGCATGTATATACACGTATATCTTGTGCAATAAAATTCAACTTATTTATATGTACAAGAGATGTTACTTTATTCACAAAAATAGTTAATTTATTTGTAATAAGGAAAATCATGACATTGATTTCTATACGTCATCATTTTATCTAGGTTCCCATACATATACAATAAGTAATTACCGTGTTGGTCTAATAGAGAGGTCCATGTGCATATGTATCAATACAAACGATGTCAACATTCTTGGCTGGTGACAATATTCTCTTTAAACGTTGGATTCAGCAAGATGCATTATTGAAGAAATGTATTTATGATCGTTTATTATAACCTCAAGTTGGGCATCATCAGTAGAGCCTGTGGGTAGTCAACACAGCGCCCTCTATAGGCCCTCATCACAACCTCTTCCCCGGCCTTTAGACGCCTGTAAGTATATAAAAAGTCAAGTTTAAGTAAACAGTAAAACCTGTGTACAGTTAACACCTATGAAGCAACAAAAAGTGTGTTTACTGTAGGTAGGTCTTCAGAGAAGTGGAATATATGCCGAGAACGGATGTTCACTCGGGACAGGTGTTCATTAGAGAAAGATGTTCACTATAGAGAGGTGTTCACTAAGACAGGTTAACTGTAGTTTTTGTGTAACACCATGTTGCCATTTGAAAATTCAGATCATTCAATTGCATACTTTCTTCTAATGTTGCCTTTTGTGCTTTCCCATGGTGTACCACCTACCTGCACGCCTCTTTTATCAGACTACAATGGTTCTCATATGTCTGTCCGTCAGTGCCACATTCCTGCATAGTCGCCTTGGTAACACAGTCTGTCTCCCGTACACACTTGTGCGTCTCTAATAGGTTTATGTAGATCGCCTTCAGCTTGGTTGGAATCTTAAAGGTGTGACTTGACGCAACTTCATAGAAAATAAATTTAGAAATACATTTTGATTTACCAATAGTAAACTCTTTAATTGGAATTGGTCTCGAGTAGTATTTGAAAGGAAACAGTTTCATGGATATTAAATATGTGATATATGTAGGTTTGGGTTACAAATGGGCCCCGGGAAATGAGCATTAGAATGAAGTGCACGTGTATTTACACAATTCCCTTTTATCAGATATCATCTTCACATATATTTCAATACCTAAGGAGGATTAATTGATAAAATATCACAAATTCAAAAATGACAATTGATTCCGCAACGTACAAGTGGGGAGTTTTGAGAGTAAGATTCGAAAAAATCAAGTTTTGTCATTCCTTCACAATTGTTCTAGCTTTTTCCGAATAATCATTGAATTGAAATCAAATTCAATGACCATGGCGAGTGATTTCAATGGGATGTCTTCTCTTCCTTGATGAAATCTAAATCTGCATCGATCTGATTAGATACGTGAACTCATTTTTTAGAAAATAAAATGAATTGATTGCTTCAGTAACATTTTACACCCTCTATCATTTATGATTCCTTTAATATACTCTCTTTCTTACCTGCTACCAGTCCAAGAAGTAATATTGCCAACTTCATCGTATTTTAGACGTAAAATGTTTGCGTTCCCGTATTAATTCACGTTAAATGATTTATTTTTATATATTTTAATCAAAACGTTGCTGAAATATTTGTGAATCTTTATAAAAAAATGACACCCTGAACTTTGATTCAGATAGATTAACCATGATCTATAAATACTGTACTAAACAGTGTATTATCTATAAAATAAAATGGTTCAAGATATGATGATATTGCGATTGTGATTTATTGCATGAGATGTGTTCTCAAGTAGTTTAAAGTTGCACCAAAGGTTTAGAGCTTGTAAAACATTTGTTAAAGTGACAGCAAATATCATGAAGAGTTTAATATCTTGGTTGAAGGTACAAAAAGTAGAGGAGAGACGCGATTTTAATAATCTCATGGCTTAAGGGATATTGCATTATTATGGAGAAACCCCAGCTTATATGAACACTTATAACATACCTATGATGATGTATAGTGCAAAGTGTACACAAGACAGCGGGCCAATATAAGTTTTGAAAAGCCCGCGCCCGCTAAATTTCTGATTGGTCAAGGCGCTGACGTCATAACCAATCAATCGAAGATCAAACTGCGCCAGCAATTTTTCTTAACTCATTTCAATCATTTTCAAACCATTTGTTTGTCAATTCTATAAGAAAACGGTATTCTCTGACCAGTCTACATCATCATAGGTATGTTATAAATCGTGTATGACACTATCGTGGCACATATGCCCTCGGTTCTCAGAGATCAATGTCCCTCCTAAGGTCGGGCCATATATCACTGAGACCTTGGGCATATATGCCACGATAGTGACATAACCTCTAAATACAGTCCATGTTAATTGGAACGCATGTGTTTATAACTTTTTCAAACCATATACCACATACATTTGAATGTAGTGTGGACTTCATGTAATTTATTGAGTGCTGTTCTCTCAGTAACAACTTTTATCGTTTTCATAAAAACATCTCAATAAGATCTTGGAATAAAATTAAAGGGGCAACAAGGACTGTAGAGAAAAAATTCGAAATTTTTTATTTTTTCTAAGGTATCATCCAGGTCAATATTTGACTTTACACCATCTTCCTATTTTCTTAAAATATATAGATAAACTATCAATTTCAGCATTAAGAAGTGTAAATTCAGGTCAAAGCTTCTACAAAAGGAGTCCCACTTATGGAGTTTTAAGATCCACCACGTTTCAAGAGGAATATCAGCTGAAATAATGTTCATCCAAGGGGTTTCTTTGTAGATAATGAAAATATTTGACTTGTTAATCTTGATGAAATATCCAAACTTAAATATATTTTGACACTGGTCGATGATGCACCTTTCATGGCTTAGTATTCCCAGCTCAGATAAGATCTTCAATAACCGTTTAATAGGTTAGGTCAGTAGAGCAAACCACAATTAGTTCAAAGAAACCCAAAGGGACGGAAGCATTGCCTCCAACCAACTGATTATAATAAACCCTCCTAAAGTCCTAAACAGATCTCTGTCAAATTTCGTTAAATTGTATATACATTTGTAATTACTTGAATGTTGTTAGATTCATAAAAGTAAGAACGCACTCAAATGTCGATCGTTCGCTTAATAAGCGCATATTCTCATTGAACTCTCACTGTTTGCGAGACTTGAAAATGTCAGCTCTAGAAAAAAGACTCCACTTGAATAAATTGCCTCCCAGGCCCCCTCCTGGTGTTGGGTAAGTATGACATTCAACTAAACAAGAACATGTTTATATGTTATATTGAAATAGTACCACATTGCTACTAGAAAATGCATCTTGTTCAATCAAACGTGTGGTGAAAATGTTTTTCTAAATTTTTTTTGAAGTTTTCCGCGATCCGAACCGGATAAATTTTGTCATGGTAATCATGCATTGTTGGATTAATCCAAGAATTAATCCAAAAATCGGTGAATTCGTACGATCCTGGGATTAATCTCAGGATAAATCTCAATCCACCACTTGAGGTGGATTACTTGTTGGATAAATTTTATCCGAATTCCAATGCAAATTGAATAATTCTTGGGGATTCCCCTCATAATCCTCGGATTGTACGAATTCTAGAGGTGTAACTCGCGAGAAAAATCCAACTCGAGTTCAACTTGCCAAATATTTCCAAAACTCTAGTAAAACTCGAGTTCATTCATTTCGTCCAGTACATGTTGTAAACCCGGGTATACAAACTTATTGAAGCTTCTAGCGGCAAGTTTCTCTGGTTTAGTCACATCTAAAAGCTGTTTAACACGTTGGGGCCATATGAAAGTGTGGTATTCATTGCAGTTATCTCATATTTCAATCAAAAACAATCTGGTATAGACGTCGCCGCATACTACTAGCATGGAGGATATAGGTCCATGGTACTAGAGAGCCCTAGAGATCGCTAGAATCTAACCAAACAATATTTTAGAAAACCCAGAAGGGCCCCTCAAATTAATGAATGGTTTTCCCGGATTATCTTCATTATTTATACTAAAGACTGCTGGTTATCGATCTAAGTTAAGACTTATGATCCTAATTTAATGATAGATCATCTTTTTTATGTAAAAGTCGTGTAAACGACGTGAGAATAAGGGGACCATTTTTATTCAATTTTAGTGACTTCTCTATTATCGCCCGCTTGAGTTCCTTTGATAGTCAATCTTTTTCTGATATTTGTTGAACTTTGTGAAGCTTTGAGAGTGTTTTTTAGGTGACGCCCGGCGCTAAATATGGCGATCATTGGTATATTTATTCCACTAATGAAGTAATGTTGCACGATCTCTGAGACCCAAATTCATTTTACATGCTTACAAGATAGGCAAAACTCGCGAGTTGACTCGAGTTATAGCTAGCTCGCGAGTTGAAATAGATTGCGAGTTTCTAGAGGACAACTCGAGGCAATGTATAGGCAGCTCTGACAAGCTATACTCGAGTTACTGACTCAGGAGTTACACCTCTAACGAATTCACCAAATATTTATCGGATTAGTTATCCAAGATTTATCGCAAAAGATAAAATTTATCCAGATTGGATTGGGGATCGTACGAATTCACGGCACCAGGAGGTTTGATAGACTTACATGTTCACCATGTAGTTGAATAATAACTCATTGACAGTATTGGTTAAAGGATCTGTCGGATGCCAGTGTGTTAAAACTGATTATAAAATTAAATGTGTATCTTGAAAGCTGCATACAGTGATCTCATAAGAGAATTCCACAATTTGAACAGGGACACTCTTTGAGTTGGACATCTACATTAGTTAAAGGTTGAATAAAGACTAAAGAAGAAATTTGGGAGTCATTTTACCTTTCCCGAGCTATTAGTGCAACGTTTGGCCTAATGTCTTCTTCGCCATACCTATTTTCTTAAAACATATGCACTTGTCGACGAATACCACCAATCAGACTTGCAAATAGACTTCTAAATAAGCAATTGAAAGGTTGGACGTCCCGCAATTTGTTTTTTGAAACATTTCTAAATCTCCCCCATTTAAAATTCTTGCTGCAGCTGAGATAGGTAAGACCGCATGTTACAGTATAACCGCAGTTGTCTGATATAACCGTATGCATGGTACCCGAGATGACCGCCGTTGACGGTCTATTATCGGCGACTCTTGCAGTTAATCTCATCCACTGACGAAGAAAAATCAAAAAAAATCTAAGACTAAAACACCTCAAATCTGCCCATATTCAAGGTCTTCTTGACACGCGCATGGTATAAAGGAAACAGAATGTTGGATAGAACGTTAGGTGAAAACGGGGCTGGAATCCAATGACAATATAACCGGGAAATCATTAAAAGGTACGTGAGCATTTTTTCTGTCGATGTCGGGAGAAGATTCCCGGGGATTTAGGATGCCAGTGATTGTGAATATCGGCAGAAATTAGGTACGTTCGGGGGTTTTCTTTGTAGCTAATGAAAATAGATGTTAGCCTTGATGAAATATTCAAAATTCGATATATTTTGACACCAGGACCATGATCGTTGGATACGTCTCTGCACTATTTATTCAACCTTTAATAATGTCTTTTATATCTGGATAAGTAAAATGAAAATGCCTGTCCATACCTAGCCTACCTCAATAATAATGTCTTGTATTTCCAGAGGTAAAGGTAAAATGAAAATGCCTGTTCACAAAAGGAGGGACTATACACCAATCAGCTGGGAGGAGTACTTTGATCATATGGAAGATGTACAAATCAACAATGATGTATCCTTTTACAGTGAATTATAAAGAAAATCTGATTTAGTTTTGATGATTCAAGTTAAATAAAATGTTATTGGATATGTTCCTCGATTTTTTATGTCAATGTTTTGTTGTTGTTTTTTTATTTTGTAAACTACAGTTGGAATGTAAACTACATCTGGAATTTGAAGTACAGCTGAAATATAACTTCAGCTGGAATGTAAACTACAGCTGGAATGTAAATTACAAGTTGAATGTAAATCTGTCAATTTGAGATTATTTCTTAATTGTAAAGACATTCAGGGTGTATATGCGTGGCTCTGATGGACCCGTATTGTTGTTCTTACATGGAGGAGGATTCTGCGGCCTCACATGGGCGGTCCTCACTGTAAGTATTGTGGTGATACGATTTGATTTAAAAGCTGCAACATTCCAACTAAAAAATCAATCAATGGTAGCTATTATATCAGAATATAGTAGAAAATTTCTAAATGCTCTAAAAACTTTGTTCTGCAAGTCTCCTCCAGAAACTGTTATTTTCTGGTCTGTATTGTAAAGAACTATTGTAAATTATCTCTGTTTTATTCTCCTTTATCAATATATAAATTGCTGTCAATTCTTTGTAATCGTCTATATTTTTCCATTTACAGCGGAGTTTGACACGTCTGGTAAATTGTCAATGTGTGGCCATAGATTTACGAGGTCATGGTGACACAAAGACAGAGGATGAGGAAGATTTATCTGCAGACAGAATGGCTCAGTAAGGTTTCAGTACATGCAACAATTTCTACATGCATTTGAAACAATATACTCGACTCTGGTGTCTAATTCTCACTTGTTTATATTTGTCAAAAATTTCATATTACCCAAAAAATAATTTATGTATGTTGGAGACATGGTCTACTGTTTAACAGCCCTTCTTTTTCAATCACTTTACTAATAATTCTTGAATGAATCTTTATTCATAATTAAACAACCCGCATGTGTTTCAGGGATGTGGGAGATGTGGTCCATGCTCTTTATGGTGACAAGTCCCCACCTATCATGCTTATTGGACACAGGTAGGTAACTATTCACCAACTCCAAAAATTCAATCTAGAGAGGGAAGGCTGCAAGAATTCATTAATCACCATTGCCTCAGATGCAGATGTTTTCTGTACTCTTGACTTCTGAAGAAATAAATTCAGTGATAAAAATAATCTTTTTATTGGTACAATGTTTGGGAATCTGAAGTATTATTATCCCAACAAACGAAGTTCGGTAGGGATATAGTGAAGCCCTCCATCCGGCAGACCATCCATCCATCTTCGAATACTAGTGGACGAATTTTTCCTCATATTTGGTGGAAAGATGTATATTGGTGAATAGTTTTATGCAAAAAAAGATGGCCACAGTTTTAAAAGTTGGGGAATTTTACGCAAATATCTTAAGGTTTTCATTTTAAATCAATATTTTTGTATGAAATTTTGGTAGTATATCCACAAGATCGATCTATTTGACATATATTCTGTGATTTTCACCACGACCCCCAGGAGCCGTGTATTGGGAGTTGGGAAAACATTTCTAGTATTCAATTTGTGCTTGCAGTATGGGCGGAGCTATAGCAGTCCATGCAGCCAAAGATCACAGGGTACCAGGCCTTATAGGGTTAGGGGTCATAGATGTTGTTGAAGGTAGGTAAGAATCAGTAAAGGACTAACAAGTTAATTTAGATAAAATTAGAAAAAACAGTAATCCTCTCAATTTTTGTAGTTTTTAACTAGAGTACCACTAAACTTTGATAAGTTTGTTGCTTCAATTTTTATCTTCTTGAATCGAAAGATAGTGTCATGTTAAATTGAAGGCAGATCACATTGTCTTCAGAAAATGACATTTAAACCTTTGAAAGGTTGTAGAATAATCTTTGTACCATTGAAAAGCTCAGTGTGTGTTTTATGTGTATGTACTAACACATTCAAAAGTTATCCCAGTAGGACCTCCTTTATTAAAACTATATGTTTCTAGGCACAGCTTTAGAAGCGCTAACTAGTATGCAGAGTTTCCTTAGAGGCAGACCTCAGGCATTTGACAAATTAGAGACAGCAATTGAATGGTGGTGAGTTTCTGCTAGATTTTAATTCAATCCAAGATTCAAATGTCACATTACAGTCATCAAAGCATGGATTTCAGAAAAAAGGTCTGAATTGTTTCATGATTGGTTTGTCATACCAGAGGACCAATCAGAAAAAGAGCTAGATCAGTCCAAAAAAGAGCATTCATCCTCTTTCAGTTTTTTGATACTGAAAAATCTTTTAGAGGAAGTGTTCACTCTGGGAGAAATTGTAAAAAGTTATTACAGTGTAAGACAGTAATCATTTATTTCACTTGTATTCATTTTGCTGCAGAATGTAATTCACTAAAAATACTTGAAATACACGTATCCATGCTGGTGCTTTTGTGTTTTTCAGTGTACGTACTGGTCAGATCAGGAACCATGAGTCGGCAAGGATCTCAATGGCTGGACAACTAAAAATGTAAGTTGTGAACACCATTTCATACAAAATTCATCAAACAAAATGCAGTCCAAAGTATGACCTGATAAATATATAACATTGTTTTGGCCTTTGTAAATGAATAGAAGAAGCTGTGCATTGAACTGAAAATATGGTGGACCAGCAATGGAAAAAATAAGAAATTTACAATATTGATTTAAATCTATTGCAGCTCATAAATTCTTTCAATTATTAACAAATCTGTTTAAACCAACATTAAATTTCAAAGAATTATACTTTATTAGAAGAAACCATGAACACACTGCAGCTGATGAGTTTGCCGAAGAACTTGTCTCCTCCCCGCACACAACAGCTTCCCCTACTGTAGGAGCATCAGCAACCATTACGGAAGAAGATGAAGAAGGGGGAGGGAAATCAACAGAAGAAACAGCCAAAAATACAGAATTCAAAGAGCCTTCTTCTGCACCTACACCTAAATATGTATGGAGGATTGACCTGTCAAAAACTGAAAAATACTGGGAAGGTATGTACAATTCAAAATATCCTCCCATCTAGTTCTTGTCCCAACCTAGCTTGTTAAATAAATTTTTTAGATATCTGCCCATCCATCATGCAATGCATTTGTGTGAATATTTTTGTTCTGGCTGCTTCTCAAATACTGTATGCTGCTGATTAATTTCAAGCAAAATTCTTAATTTTGAAACCAATGCACCATTAGAATATGAAAAGATTTACTACCCCAGTGAAATTGAAAAATATTGAAATATCACGGCATTAAAAGCCCAACATGGCTTTTCAAATTCGTCAATTAACACGCTCCAAGTGAGCCTGGAATTTACCAATTTTGCTTCCTGACACCAAAGTCCAAAGGCCTTTTATGTGTAATAATTTGATTAATGTTTTAACTTTTCTTTCTATTGTAGGATGGTTTAGGGGATTGTCTCAACACTTCTTGTCTTGTGATGTTCCAAAATTATTAATGTTGGCAGGTATAAATGTCTTTTCATGTCTTGTCTTGCACATTATCAAAATATTACTATTTTACATAAAACACTCAGTATCCTTAGGTATCCGATTTCGTTTTGGTGTTTTATGCTGTTTTTCTTATATTGTAACTTGTAAGATTTCCACTTTCACATCCTGTTTTGCACTCAGATTCACTACAATTCATGTGCTTCAATTCTAGGTGTTGACAGACTAGATAAAGATTTAACAGTTGGTCAGATGCAGGGGAAGTTCCAGATGCAAGTATTGCCACAGTGTGGACATGCAGTACATGAGGATGCCCCTGATAAAGTTGCAGAAGTGTTGGCAACATTTATGATTCGCCATAGAGCTGCAACTCCAACAGTCAATTTTAAACCGTATGTTGATAAGAATATATTACAAGTCATTTTTGAAAAGTATATCTTTCTTAGTGTCTACATGTACATATTACTACAAACTGGATGAAGCTCTTCTTTCAGAAGCTGAGTTAAACGAATGCAGAGTGTATTTCCTTCTAAGACTTTTGATTAAATTCTTTACAATTTTGTTTTATTTCCAGGTCTTTCCCAGCATGCTGATATTCCGGAAAGCTAGCTTAGGGTCAGTCGTCTGCTAATATCCTAATGCATTATGGGACATTCTCCAAATGCAGTGATTTGAGGGAACTTCTCCCAGAAGGACTGTTGACAGCTCCAATACAGAATTATGTTCACTAGTGTTTGAACAATTTGTGAGCCAAGTAGGCATCCATGGCAAGTTACCAACTGGTTATTATCTGTTGATGGACAAGGAGCATATCTTGATTGATCTTGATTCAGCCCATTCCATTGCATGTAAAATGTCAGATTCAGCTGACATGTTTTAAATGGAGAATAAGATTTGGAAGAGTGGAATCAATGTTGAATAAAAAAAACAGTAATGGCAGTTTAAAATGCCAGAGAATCAGGCAGTCAGAGATTGAATATGGGTGACTAAAAACAAGATAGTGGAGACTTTAAGCTAGCAATGTTTCTCACAACGTAACTGTAAACACAAAGTCAATAAATCAATGCAGTAATGTGTATACCACACATACAGAACAAGCGTTTCTTTGTCTACTTCAGATACCCAATCAGCTTCAGTTTCGTGTTTAGAAAGGAAGATTTGCAATTTCATGTGTCAATTTGCATTTTGTGTCAACAGGAATCATTATATTGATGTCTTTGCTGGCAATTTTGATTCTGATGCATAGTATAATGCTTTCTGAAGGAAATGATGTATGTCATATATGTTTTCTCCAAATATCTTACGAAACGAACTTGTTTAAAATATGTATCCTAGAAAACCAGCTTTATAACAATTAATGGCATATACACGATGATGTGTAGTCTATGCAACAGACTAAGTAAACACTATGACTAAACGATTATTTATTTGAGAAAATGTGCATTTGAATAGGGCGGTTTATACATACAGGTTGACAGTTTGATTTTATATGCATTGCTTGAAGTCTCCAATATGTGTTAAGGGACTGGGGAGTGGTACAATTTATGGCTCATGGCATTATATGGACATTTACACAAATGAGACATGTGTTATAAACTCAAATGAAATATTGCAGTTTGATGAAATAGCTAAATTAGCTATAAACCTGTATATCTATGCTTTGTAGGCTGAACTTGGTTAAAATAAAATGTAACTTAAAGATGGAACTCTTGGTTTTACATATTTTATTTTATTTATTGATAAATGTCACATGTAAGTGATACTGAGTTAAATATACTGTCCTGTGTATCCATTAGGCTATATGAAGTACATGTAGTTTTACATCCCCTTGCTTGGTTGATTAAGAGTAAACCATAAAACAAGGCACAGACGTGAACAATATCGTACCTAAAACACAGCATTGTGGTCTTGTTGACCAAGAAAGCAAGATGGCCGCAGAAAAGTTAATCAGCTCTAGAACTTATCACTGTGTAACATATGTAAAAATTTGAACGGTTTGGCTGGAAACCTGTAGACAAGCCTCGATAGACAAGATCTTAGGACGGAAAATCTAAAATGGCAGCCTTAACATTTACCCAGAATGCCCAAAAACTAATCAGTTCTTGACGTTGATATGTAGAAACATCCCTGAAAATTTCCATTTCAGATGAATCCCTCAAATGGTTTGGCTGGAAACCTGTAGACAAGTCTTGAAAGTGAAGATTTTAGGACGGAAAATCCAAAATGGCCACCTTAAAATTTAACCAGAATGCCCAAAAACTAATCAGTTCTTGACGTTGATATGTAGAAACATCCCTGAAAATTTCAGATGAATCCCTCAAAAGGTTTGGCTGGAAACCTGTAGACAAGTCGCCGCCCACCCGCCGCCCGTCAAACTGACTACAATATCGTACCTCTTGTTAGGTACGATAAAAACATCGAAATATGATAAAGAAGCCAAATAACAATCTCTGAGGAATATTGGTTTTAAAGGCAGTATTAGCATTGTCATATCAGGTTGTGCATTTTATGTGATTACGATATATACTCTACATTATAACATGCATTGTGCACTTCCTTTCTGAGTTAATTAAATTGAAATAAACTGTTTGTCATATCAATATTTATTAAATATATGGTATAGTAAATGACATAATAGATCTCTTTGCAGCTTCTGCAAATTGGTACAATTCATGCCCTTTTCTAGCCAGAAATCAATCAGATACATCTCCTCTCAAATAAGTTTGTGTTAAATTTCATATTAAAATCTACTTTTTATTGCCTAACCTGTAACTCATTGATTTCAAAATTTTAAGTTATTTTTCATAATTTCTATAAATCCTGCAATCATAATGCATAAACATTACCAACCTAATGAAATTATGAAAATAAATAGGTCGAGTGCAAAATTAATTTTGACAAGAAAATGAAGATTTCAAGTCTGGATATTATTCACATGTCTGCATTAATGGTGCATTCACCACACTTTTGAATTCACAAACCTAACTTCCAGACTTCCTAAATTAGATGATGTATACTGCACATATGCCATCAGGATTTAAAGCAAGGATTGTACAGTTGAAATAAATTACTATAACAGTGTTATACATAACTTGGGCACCTAAACCCTTCAGTTATGTATGTTTGTTTCATAGAATTCTACTCCAACTTCAACCTAGCCAATACAATACAAGGCAGGTCTCGTGGAAGTGGGAAATTTTACCATTTAAAGGGTTATGATAAGCTTCCCGTATAAAAACAATATGGCAGCTCAATGCGTTTGTACTGGATCAGTCTATTTTGTAGAAATTAGGGGAGTTTTGTAAATTCAAGTTTATTGAAATCATCTTGAAGATAAAATTATTCTTCAGAAAGTTTACAATAAACTTTGAGAGAGTGAATTATCCAAAGGATGCATAATCATCAGCCAATATAAATCCTGGTGCAAATCCAAACGACTTTGTTTCATTTACAATACTTTTCTTTCTTAATTTATTTTTTACTTCACAGTATAATTGAAGATCAAGATAAGTAAAAGAAAATACTGAATTAGGCAAATCTATTTTTATGAATTAAGTCTTTTTATTATTACTATATCATCACAATCTGCAAGGCAACAATTAATTTTTGAAAATACATTGGTAGGAATGTTCCAAAATTACACCCCCCGATTATAATTTGGAATTGCACTCTCACTATGCTGCCTATAGGACATTGAGTTTGTGTATCAATGAAGTGTTTACGCAGTGTATACACAATGTGATAATTACTGGAGCCGTAAGATCCCTACAGTGGATACTTAAATGCATTTAGCTTATTTTATATCATTTTAAAACTTTTATTTACAAGAATTCATAGGGCCTAGGTTAAATATCGAGGCACCATAAAGTTACATACAAGGGGGGTCAAAACTCAAATAGGGAGGAAAGGGGTCCAGCTTTTATTAAAATAGTTTCACAAAAAGTATTTACATTTTGTCCAATTAAAGCCCTAAATTAAATTATTCCAGCTACAAGTTCATAAACCTACTCAAATCTTCTATTATCAAAAAACTGGAAGTTAACAAGTAAAGTAATTGTAAAATACATTGTACAGCAGTTGCGTCCGATTACAAAAAACAACAGTGCACATGTACAATAATATATACACAAAATCTACAATAAATGCCATAGTGTATTCTGACATTTTTATTTGTATTTACAGCCAAGATTCGGCTAAAGAAGTTATATATTAAGTATATCCCCTCTCATTTATTTAAAACTGTATATACAGGGTGGTCCAAAAAATGGGACACTCGCATTTCAGAAATAAATATTGATTTTTTGGTGAAAACATATATTATGACATATTTTTTATTTTTGAGATACAATTGTCCCATTTTTTGGACCACCATGTAATGTCAAAGTATAGCATAATACCAGATATGGCAAACCGATACATACTGTAACCAAGACAACGCCATAAATACAAAAGTAATACAAGGCATTAACATGAAAAATGTCACCACCTGGCATTTGTTACAGACGCTTAACACCAACTGCCGTCAAATAGAAAAGAAATAACTCGTTTTCCAAAATCTAGAGAGGTTCAAAATGTCAGATGTATAGACTGCCGGGGTTTCACTAGAGGTTCTCACAACAGGTTAAATAAATGAAATCAACAGCCTAAATTAATGAAAATTATAAATTTAACATGGAAAAGTTGAAAAGGCCCTAAAAACAACAGGAGATTTTGTGAAAACAACTGGTGAATATCGCCTGTTGCCTGCTGCTAATGAAACCCCTGAGAGTAAACCTTAGTAAGTATGGGAAACATTTTTATGTATGAATGGCTTTTTGAATACACATAATACAATACTTATAACCCAGGGTTTATCCCTCAGTAAATAGGTGTAACCCTGTATTTAGAACTTTACACATAAACCTTATGCAGTTTAATCTACATCTTTAATCTACATCATTAAAACATCTTTGATCTTTACATCTTTCAACTTAAATCAACCCATATACCCTGTTCCTGATTTTCTGATATTATCTATAGATACACATGTGATGAAATATTTACATTTTATACAGTAAAACCTGTATATCCAAACACCTGACATCTGAACACAACAGTTTTGTTCAGTCCCATTTTTCAATCTGCCATGCCATAGACTCATGTTAAAATGTGAACACTTACAGATCTGACCATTGTTCAGATTAGACAGGTTTTACTGAATTATTAAAGCAACATTATGACTGCAAATAGCATCATCTTGTTTATCGTGCATCCCTTGTGCACTTGGAATGAATACAATAAGATAATTGCGTGACTAATGACAAAAATTCCTGACAAATATATTCAAATGAAATAATAATGTTTTACATTTACATCTATTTACAGAACATCAAAAGTTCATATTTTAAACTTCATTGCATTTGTTCACATAAAATGAATGATTTAAATAAAAATTCATTGTATTTTGGACACGATGACATTTAATTGGGTTGGGTGCAGACAGAAACAGAGCCTCGTAATTAACCCCTGAAAGGCCACTAACTTCATTTATACATGATAATATTTCATATTATTAATGGTGGGATATATATGAGATTCCACTATATTGGCAAAGTGAAGGTCATTGAAGACTGGAAATACACAAAAGAATCAAATAATTTGTCTGTTCAGAATAGCAAATCAATTCAAAACCTTGTATGCATTTACAGTGGAAATGTTATGGAAATATTTTAAAACAACTGCAGAATCATCTGTTATGCAAAATGTCACCACCTGCCATTTGTTACAGATTCCGAACATCAACTGCCAGACACCGTGAACAAAAGAGTTGGAGGCTATAACAATGTCGCCACTTCTGGTGGTGACATAAAAACCAAGAGTAATGATCATTTGTCTCTTCTTTCACATTGTTCAGAGTACTGAAATGTCAGTTGTGTAGCACGGATCCAAAAATAGGTGAGGCCAAATATACTCAGTGAGAGAAAACTTGAATATGGATATTTAAAATATTATGCAAGTTTACATTAAATTTATAGTTTTCACAGTTTCAGCCCAAAAAATTATATCTTGGCGAAGTTTTGCCTCGTCTGCATCATAGTTAGCTACACCAATGAATGTAATATCAGCGCACTTTTGTTTTTTATAAATATAATTTCCTAATAGTGTCTCATAGTTTCAAGATTGTTACATTGCATCTGGGTCGATAAATAACGATGTTATTGCAAATAGTAAGAACACTACTCCTCCTGCTATAGTAACTGGAAAAGAGAATATATTCAAGATTATGGCATGTGTAGTCAATCAGACGGACGCACACAGTCCATATTATGATCCATCATTTACATGGATGACTATGCCCATAGCCCATACACTAGAGCATTTAAAAATAGATTTAAAACACTGAGACCCCTAGTGTAAATATCCTTTAATGTAGTGCACATCTTGTGTAACTTATGTAACCATATCAAACAAATAGTAAAGTGGGCAAATAAGAGTTTCTTTAATTTGCAGAAACTAGTTTCAGACTCACCTGTTCTTACAGATATTCTTTGAGCTATTAGTTTACCGCCCATGACGGCTAGACCCGTACATAACGCATGACCCATGGTGCCACCTATTATGACTCCCATCACGTCCCTAAATCCATCCTGAAAAATAATTTTTCATTCAAAGTAAGTAATAAAATACATGCCACTTAATTAAGAAATATAGACCAAAGAGCAGGTGTTATATTGACAAATACATACCCCAGGGCTAGGCACAAACGTTTTCTGTTCGAAAGCTTTTGTGCCTAGCCCTAAGGTATGTATTTTTTTCGATATAACACCTGCTCTGAGGTCTATATTAAATATAAAAATAACCTAGAAATAGTTTGGCACAAAAGTAGTATTGTCTCATTTTGGCAAAATCTACACCCATGATGTGACATGATGTTATCCTGTGCCGGACTAATTTCTATACCCTAGTTTATACCTAATACTCTTACCTCTCTTGCACCTAAGATTATGGTTGCTATTTGAGATCTATCACCCCACTCGGCTAGAAATGTTAAAGTGAATGCTTCCAGGAAAACTTTTGAAACAAGACCAAATATTTTCCGTCTTTTCACTTTAATTATGCCTGTTTCTATATCTTCAGTGACAAGGTCTTCTTTCATCATCTGAAATAGAAAGAACATTCATTACAATCTATTACATACAGGGTGACCCATGGTCATGGTCGTTCCAAAATATGCTCCAAATGTCGTCCATTTCCAATGTTAGGTTTTCGGATGAATCACATTCCCTTCTTTCTGAACATGTAAACTCAAGAAATAATGTGTTCTGGGATCACAAATTCCAGATGAAGTGCTTCACAGGCCCCTACATTCTGTTAAATGCACAGCTTGGGCTGCCAATTTCCAAACATGAAATCATCAGCTCCTTTTGGTTTGAGATTGATGGTCGTCCCACAGTCTTGATCTCAATGCCCTTGACTTCTATATATGAGGTTATTTAAAGGATAATGTGTATGAAAATAACCCTACAGCAATTGCAGAACTCCAATAAGCAATGGCTGCAAACATTTGAGCCATACCCATGGGGAAGAATGCATCCGTGATATGAACAGTTTTCCTTGAACATTGCAAGTTTGTTTTCAGCGAAATTGACGACATCTGGAGCATATTTTGAAACAACCATAACTCTATAAATATTAGACTATGATTATTAAGACTTTGCAAAAGGATTCCACATTGAATGAAGTCCTTGTGTGACAAATCTCAGAGCAATTTACCTCCATTTAGGAAAAATATTGAAAAAATGGAGGGTTGCATTTTTTGGGTCACCCTGTACATTAGTAGGGGAATAAATCTGATAAAAGAGATAGTTGTGGCATTTACAGACCATTGGAATTTAATATAAGAAATGAACTTCTAATTCAATACTTACTATTCAGTACTAACTATTCAGAACTACTAATTAATACAAATATTTGTATTTCCATTTTTATTAAGGAATCAAGCTGAAATCTTAAAGAAACAAAATGCACTGATAACACCTGAATGAACCAAATCATCATTTCAAAACAAATGGATGAAGCCTTGATTTAATCGAATACATGCTATGTGTTTTTCTAGCCTTGCCATTTGTGCTTTTTCACATACCTCATCCTCCTTAGCTTTTATCTCAGCTTGAACCTCTTCATACTCTTCGGCACCTTCATCTGGGGACATGTTGTACCCTGCAACATTGAATATAGGAGTGGGGGTCACATTTTAAATACAAGATAACATGTATAAAATAAATTGAATTCACTGAATTTAAAGTAAACTGGCTTCAAGTCAACTTCAATTTGAATAGAAATTTGAGAAAATCAACTTCATTCAAATAATATCTGGGAGTCTAACAACTGCGCAGATGAATATTAAAGTGTTGATGAACTGTATATAGATATGTAGGTACATTTAGTAACTAAGGGGTTTATATATGTACAGTAAAACCTTTGTTTGATACATATTCGTAATGAACATTTTTGCCGAGAAAAACTGTTCAGTGTTGGTAGGTGCTCACTAAAGAGAGGATAATTTATATACAAATCGGTAGGGAGGTGTTCACGAAGACAAGTTTTACTGTACAATTAGTAAAAAAGAGGCATATATGCACATAAAGCTTAGCTTCTCACCTTCCTTGAGCATTCTTAATCCAAATATGGCAAACAGACCCGTGGACACATAATAGGTGACAAATCGTGGAATAATAGTTGTAGCAAAACCTAGCACAGCTGGAAAATAAAGTAAACAAAACATGCAGTATTTGTAGTACATGTTACTTATAAGTAGTTTATGTATGTACATGTACTGTTCTACTTTTCACTTCATTTATCATAATTTTTTCTAAATTGTTGAAAAACTGTATGCCAAAATTCTGGTGATATTTTCTAATTTTGGATCTTTACAAGGTATGATGTACCTAGAACCTCAGTAGGTATGAAATACAAAAGCGTATACTGTTTCTACTTTTCTCATTTATTAAATTGTAATGTTTTGTTTTTTGTTTTTATTAAAAATATTTATTCTCTAAATTAACATCAAATACATAATAACACTTGACACTTTTAATAAGTGTATCAGTGTGAAAAACATAAAATATTAATCTTAGTCACATTGAAATGAGAAAAAAGAACAATTAAAAATATTTACTCAGTCAAATGTACAATGTAATCCATTCCATTCTGACACTAATCCTATTTTATTTAAGATTTAAATTCTAAAAATACACTTCATTTTAAAATATTGATTCTAAAAGATACATCGTTGCTTCATTGTGAATTAGTAACTTTTCAGAAAAAAACTATTATCAAGAATCGAATTAAATGGGCAAATACTATGTTTTAATATTCTGATGAAACGATTTTGCTCCTAAACATCCCGCTCTTGTTTTAGATTTAAATGGGACTACTACACTACATAAGTCTACATGAACACAGTAAATGGTTAAATCCATTCTGACACTCATTACATATTTCTGCCTTCAACAGGAAATATGAAGGCCATGATTTTGCATGATGGGCTAAATCTTACCTAATCTAATTCATGAATTTTGGGAATTTTTGATAGGAGGTTCGCACGAACCCCTCGAACCTCCGTTGGCTACAGGCAATGACATGTTTCTTACTCTCTGCATATTTTGCTGTTACATTTTGGGCACACTGAAACCATCTAATAAGGGCGCCTTCCCATCTCATAAAACCAATCAGTCCATGGAATGTCTTGTTATCTTTGTTGACTTTGTGATTCTTCGATCTTCGAATGACAATGCCACCATAATTTAGTATCACCACATGCCCATATATGGGACAGAATATCGGTGTTGCACTCTGAGTATTAGAGTATTAGAATGAGTAATTTTGTGAGGTAAAGTGTTGCACAGGTCTGACCCTGTCTTAGTTATAAATTATTTCCCCATGTTTGTTCTGAACGTACTAGATCTAAGATTGTATATTTGCTTTGCTATTTTGATGAAGTATTTTGCTGACATCAGCATATTATATTTCGAATAAAGTTGACATCTTAGTTAAACCAGTAACCTTGTTCTTTAAAACATTAAATTTTGACCATTCATTTTTTTATCAGTTTCAAGGTTCAGTTCAGAGTTGATCATATAAATGTGACATGAAATCACTAAAACCATGTAAAAACAAGTATATAAGTTCTTAAAACTAGATTCTTAAAATCCCTACTTATGGAACATTGTAAATCTTGCTGACTACTAGACTAATAACTAGGTCATCTTAACATTTTATAGCAATAAAATTTCCCATAACTGGGAACCTCCATTTATGAACAGGAGACATTTCATCCCATTATTTCCACATTATTACAATTGCATTTTCGCTGATATTGAGAAATTAGAGTTCTTCATAACCTTTGAATAGTCATTCTTAAAATCATGTGTATGTGTAGGCCTTGCAAAGCAAAACTCACTGATTAACAATAAATAAAACACATCTTTTTTATGGTTTCTTATTTTTTAAATATCAAAATAACCCTGCAAACTGAATTTTTATTCACTTCCATTTTGTTATTGTCACGTATATCATTACTCTGCCCATCTAATTATAAAGAATATGACTCGTGTTCCATTTTGACTGATAAGGTACTGGATGAGCTTGGTCCATGTTTTTACTTACATGATCACATTTTTCTAATTATGTTAATTATGTGAAATATATCATTTCTCATTGATTTTGAAAATGGAATACGTCTGAGTATCACCACATGCCTATATGTCGGACAGAATATCGGTGTTGCACTCTGAGTATTAGAATGAGTAATTTTGTGAGGTAAAGTGTTGCACAGGTCTGACCCTGTCTTAGTTATAAATTATTTTCCCATGTTTGTTCTGAACGTACTAGATCTAAGATTGTATATTTGCTTTGCTATTTTGATGAAGTATTTTGCTGACATCAGCATATTATATTTCGAATAAAGTTGACATCTTAGTTAAACCAGTAACCTTGTTCTTTAAAACATTAAATTTTGACCATTCATTTTTTTATCAGTTTCAAGGTTCAGTTCAGAGTTGATCATGTAAATGTGACATGAAATCACTAAAACCATGTAAAAACAAGTATATAAGTTCTTAAAACTAGATTCTTAAAATCCCTACATTTGGAACATTGTAAATCTTGCTGACTAGACTAACTAGGTCATCTTAACATTTTATAGCAATAAAATTTCCCATAACTGGGAACCTCCAGATATGAACAGGAGACATTTCATCCCATTATTTCCACATTATTACAATTGCATTTTCGCTGATATTGAGAAATTAGAGTTCTTCATAACCTTTGAATAGTCATTCTTAAAATCATGTGTATGTGTAGGCCTTGCAAAGCAAAACTCACTGATTAACAATAAATAAAACACATCTTTTTTATGGTTTCTTATTTTTTAAATATCAAAATAACCCTGCAAACTGAATTTTTATTCACTTCCATTTTGTTATTGTCACGTATATCATTACTCTGCCCATCTAATTATAAAGAATATGACTCGTGTTCCATTTTGACTGATAAGGTACTGGATGAGCTTGGTCCATGTTTTTACTTACATGATCACATTTTTCTAATTATGTAATTATGTGAAATATATCATTTCTCATTGATTTTGAAAATGGAATACGTCTGAGTTGACAAGAAGGGAAATTCAAACAGACATTTATAATTGGTGATAGTATGTGTATTTCTAATTCGACGATTTGAACTTCCCGCCAGAGTACACTTTAAACTTGTGTTGGCTACTTTGCGTTTCTATTGTTTTGTGCTTGCGTTGCGTTCTGCGATCGCTGTCGCAACGCAGACGCAACGCACATAGTTTGCGACCAATTGAAAATGAGGCCTCTGGTCCAAATATTTCAGGACTATTTTTTGGAACTTGAAATTACCCCAAAGGTCAAAAATGCCAATTCTATGGCAAAATTTAAGCCAATTTTGATCAATCTATTACTATTTATTTAAAGTATATTTTACATTTGTATATCACTCTTTTAAAAATTTGGAAAATTATGTAAACATTTTTTAAAACGCATGTATTATGGATACACCACACTAATATCATACCCTGACATGTGAAACTGATGTAAAGTAGTTTTGTAGTATGTAGTTTGTAGTTTTTTGTACACTGTAGTGCCTGATATGTCATTTACATGACATGGTTATTGAGTCAATAAAAGATATATATATACAGGAATGGTATGTTATAAACAGGTTACTGGCTTACCTGAAAGTACGGTCATTAATCCCAGTGCTGCTAAAGCACCTGTAAACACAGTACATCGAGAATGTCTCATTGCCATAATGGCCGCAATAAAGAATGTCTTGTCCCCTAATTCTGACACTATAATGACAGATAATGAGGCAATATAGGCGTGTATAAACCCTAGGTTTCCCTTAGATTTGCCCTGTTCTGCTAGGCCGAGTTCTTTGGCTAACTTTTCATGATCGTGACCATGTGCATCTGTGCCACCTGCCCCCGCAGAGCCTTTGGCCTGAAACATTGAAAAATCAGTCAGCTTCATAAAATTTAAATGAGGAAAATTTAAAACAATTTACAAACATTCTTAAACATGTTCTTCAGGTTGGATTATAAGATCACAACAATCTTTTCACAACCTTTATTTTACAAAACAGGACATTTCATGTGATCCAAGAAGGATTGGCTCCCAGAATGCAACATCAGTTAACCTTATTTACCCGTCACGTATCATGTTGCATTGTGGGAGCCAATTCTTCTTGCGGCGTAATCGGGCTCCAAAATCAACTCAACATTTGAAGAGTCGGCATTAAAATGTGAGAATCACTTCAAATTTTTAAGTTACCAGTTGTCATTATGGACACAAATTACACTTTATTTGTACTTTCCGGAGAAAATAGATCACTCAATTCACTGAGGTAAGAATTTATTATATGTGCGACAGAATGTCTTTTTCATAGTGATATTATTTAGGCTATGTTCCTAACTTTTTCTGGAAATGCAGTTATTTGTTTACGTTCATTCAGAAATCTCTGAAGAGTTTTGAACTTTTCGTTATTTTCCTTTAAACCGCCATTTTAATCTCACATAGATAATTTCCGCTTGACCAATAAAAGGAATTCTTGATTGATTGTCACTAGCAAAGGCCACTTGTGTAAGAAACATTCTGATATATAAAGTAGCCGCTGAATTCATTATTTCAGTTCCAGACATTACGATTACCTTATGGCCAATCCTGGCTGGCCAAAGGCTGAATTATCAGATCTCTCCAGCCAGGAAAAAGGTGAAATATCATGTACTATGCTTTAAAACAATGTAATTCTAACTTACCCCTGAATCTGATTTAGATTTATGAGCTACATTCTGACTCTTGTTTTCTTCTTCACTACTGGAGGCGCCACACCCAAGAAATGTGGCCAAACAAAAAATTAATAAAATATCTCTGAAAAATTTCATCTTGAAATTGAAAGTCCAAAAGAAGTGAACGTTACTCAGTAAGCTCCGGGCAAAATCCTTTAAAAGTAGCTCTCACTACTCATCAAATATATATCTATACATAGAATTTAACAGTTTGCGTAACAACTAACTAGTTACTGTGATATTTAGACTATTATGCTACCACATTTCATTTTTCAACTTTGAGAATCCATTTTGAAACGTCATACGTTTACGACTTTTCCTGTCCGTTGACATGTTTTATAAATTAGATTATATCACTAAAATTTATGTTTCTTAGAATTCATTCTACATGATTTGATATATACAAATCTGATAGATCACTTTCAATGTGCATTTACTTGAGGAGAGAATGATAAAATCACGACATAAGGCAAACATCTTCTTTTCGATAGTTTTAAAGTAAGTAAATTGCGGATATAATTTCGGAATTACGACCTTCATGTAAAGTGTAAAGTTACACTTTGCAGTCGTTTGACTTAGCTTCTTAAAAGAAAGTGTGACAACCCCAACAATTTTACTCACCATTCTTTGCCACTATTAAGTAGTGTCAGTTCAATGTCTTGTCATTGTTGGGTTTCACTTAATGTTGTTTAAATGCTTACATGTATGTTTAGGTTGATACTTTCCACTAAAGTGTCATATTTCAGTGATTTGTAGGCGAGTGGTGGAAATTTTCAAATATTTCTACTTTCACTTCCGGTTCACGGGGTCAAGGTCATATTGCCGATAAAAGTTTGTCATTTGTTTTTCTTAGGAAATTCACCCTGTTAACTATGTTTTATCGCTAATCTAGTAAGATATTCACATAATAGGTAATATTTGCTTTCAAACGGTAGTTTACACTTGGTAAATGGTCCCGTATTGGCGAAGTTATGGCTATAAATCTAAGTTTATATAAGTCTATTTTTAGGCTGACGTCACTGCACATGCGCAGAGGTGAGGCAGCCATCAAACTTTTGCGAGAGAAAATCACCCGTGATTTGCTCTGCTGTTTCCACTTCAAATGGCGGTATCGTTGACCATCGAGATGCCGGAGCTATCGCATTACTTACAGCAGTAAGTGGTGCATCTGCACGGGGTAATGGCGAGATGTCATTCACGATGCTGGTCTCTAAAACCAGGTTTGAAGTTGAGGTTGGGTCTTCCGTGGCTTTTGCAAATGGCGTCATCAGCCTCCCATATTTGCAAGTTTTGATCTCAACCTTCAAACACACATCGTGCCGCAAGTACCTCATGTGGATTGATAGCCTGCACCTCATTTCGAACCAGGATTGATCTAGGGATCAATGTGTCAAAATTGGCAAGTATAACATTGTATTTAGTTTGAATTGTTTGGTGCAAAAGCACACTGAAACTATTTGACCTCTATTTAATATTGGTTTGTGCAAAGGCACATCAGAATTATTTGACCTAGATTTGCTTTGCAAAAGCATATCATAATTGTTTGAGAGAAGTTGTTTTGCATTGTTTATGATCAATACTCATATTGACCATCATGTTTGATTGATTCATTGCTAAGGATTAGTTATTACATATGATCATGTTTTGGTACACTGCGTTACTCAGTCTGTTCCGCAGTTCTGAGGTTCTACTCTGCGCAGTTGTACATTACGCAATGTCGGCTATTTGTCGATAGGTAAGTGTTATCAGGTTTTGGTACACTGCATTACTCAGTCTGTTCTGAGGTTCTACTCTGTGCAGTTGTACTTTACGCAATGTATTTGTTGACAGTCAGATATGGTCATGTCTTGGTACACTGCGTCTATTGAGGGCGTTCCGCGGAACTACCCTGCGCAGCTATATACATTACGTAATGTATATAGTCAGTTTATGGAGTTCAAGTTCTTGTTTGGCAACAGCACTGGATGATTGTGTTGAGTTTAGACACTCATGGAAGCTTAGTTCATTATTTAAATCTACTTTGACTTGAATTGTTCATTTATTGTCAAAGTGTCGGTTTAGTCGTAAAGTTGTGAAGTCATATTAGTACCATAGCTTATACATTTTATGCATGTATGGCTTTATCAAAAGCACTGTTAGGCAGTTAGGAAATACCATTTGTTCCATCTTGTGTCATCAATGGGAATACAAGTTGTTGTACCCACATCTATGCTGTGGCATAGAATATTATAGGCTATACCTGGGTATAGCCTATGAGTGGTGTTGTATTACATTAACTTGTGTATACTTTGTATGCGATTCCATCCATCATTGATCGGCATTGACATGCACCGGCATGTTGCGTATAACATGCACCCACTTGTTACATGACATGTACCCACTGGATGTGGGATTGCACCCACATGTTACATAACATTAATTTTGACTTGCATGTTACATAATGATTAATGTGCACTCATGTATATATATTGGTATTGCTACTTGGTGTGTCAAACACTATATGTTGTATAAGTTATTGTTATTAAGTTGTTGATTACTTATGGTACTATTATGTTCAACTCTTGTGTCACCATAACTTGTGATTACTTATAGTAATGCCATGGTGATATGTATAGTTGGTCTCACAGATCTTAGTGTTTTGTCAGTGGTCATTATTAGGTTCTTTGTGTCATGTGTAACACATATAGGAGCCAGTTGTAAGTGTACTCATTATTCATTGGTTATTGTAAGGATATGGTAACACAATATTGCCATTTTATTCCAATGTTTAGTTGCTAACTTGTATTTGACTTTTACGTCATATCGCAAGCTCACAAGAGCTATTTGTAAGTGTACTTATTATTCATTGGTCCTTGTAAGGATATGGTAATACATTATTGCCATTTTAGTCCAATGTTTAGTTGGTAACTTGTAAGTTTGACTTTATGTCATATCACAAGCTCACAAGAGCTAGTTGTAGGTGTACTTATTATTCATAGGTCATAAAGGTTATGGTGGTAATGCATATTGCAATGTTATGCCTATGTTTATTTAGTAACCAGTTATCCGGTTGTGTCACACACTCTCCCAGGTGAAGGTATTGTTACAGAATTACTTTTGTGTATTTAAAGTGAGTTCCATGCACATGAGCTAATTAATGTAAAGTTATAACATAAGAGTCTTAGTAGACAAGTTACATGTTTCAGTATTAAATGTGATATTAAATGCTGTATATTATGTGACCATGAAGCAAGGATATTAGTCCAGTAGTTACTTTAGATTCATCTTTGTGAGTGTTGTTTGAATGCATGTACTCATTGCTATTTAGTAACAATGTACTACTATTATTCAGGATATTATTCAGGTAGATGGATAATATGTCTATCATTCAAGTAAATAACACTGTACCATTCAGTGTATATTATTCAGGTATATTATGCATATATCATTCAGGTATCACAACATCAAAGGTATTTTTCATATATGTTTTCCACTATGTGTGGCTTTGTTTGCACACTTTGTGTGCCTCACTGTATTACCATGTTGTTCAGTTGTTAATAAACCTTTAATCTTTTAGTTATATATTTCATTTAACTCATCTGTTTTGTCAGTTAAAGTGTATGTTTTATGTCGCAGCGTGACATATTCCGTCCCTTTGTCATTTTATAAGTCATGTCTGAGGACCCTTGAGAGTATTAACAGGCACAACACGAACCCGGGATTTTAATGCTAACGATTCTTTCACCTCACTTAGCCCTTCCCCTTATTCACGCTACCACTTCTGTTTGCTCTGCACCGCCGTGCGGAGAGAGGGGCGGTGAGGGTCGTTACATTTTGGTGGCAGCGGTGGGATGTTCTGTTGTGTTTGATGACTCTTCCTCAGTGCTGTGAAATTTACCAGCAAAAACCCTGTATTTGGTAATGTAAGTGCCACTCAAAAGTTTTTTTTAAATGTGCAAAAAATGTGTTTCTCAATGCATCAACTCAAAAATGTATTGGGATACCCATTTGTTATGTTAGAGTGTAGGTAACAGTTATGTTAGCCTTATTGCTCTACAGGTTGTCATATTCATGACTATTGCGACTAATTTCAACCTGGGAAGTGTGTGACTTTGCTAAATGTGTAAAGGAGAAAATATTAATCTCCTAATTGTGACTGTGCTTGTTCTGTACTCTTTGTGTTCTCAGCTGATCATGTGGTCAGATGTGATGTCTTGGTCATACTACGTATATTGACCAAGAGTGAGTACTCCAAAGGTGGGTCACAAGCCAGTTTTCCGACCTAGTGGAGTAGACTGTTTCCTTTTCTGGTAATTTCTTCTGCAAGCCAGCTGAAGAGATTCATCAGACAGTCCTCACTATCACATGGTATCTCACCACTTGTTTTGAAGAGTTCACTGTCTGAGTCATGAGCAGTCATAGTTACTGGTATTAGAAAATTTGTGTGTTGTCATGCCCGACAGGCAGCTCCGAATGTCTCAATTTATGTATCCTAGGTGGTACGGTAAGCCTAGAGGTTTGTGAAAAAGTATGCAGCTACTTTTTACAACATGTTGCTTCAGCCAATGGATCCGGTGTTGGTAGCTCTGGTTTTGTCATAATGTCCCTCAGTGACATAACTAGCCTACTCCAGCAATGGCCAGGGGTCTTAGGTTATCAGGTAAATTGCTAACTCTGAGAAAATGTATAACAGTAGCCTATTTGTTAATGTATGTAACTACCCAAATTAAGGTTGACCTGCATTCCTCAGGTGACATCTGGTATGATGTTCAAATTTACAATCTTATTAGCTGGGTGAGGTTGTAGGGTTATGACTCTTATGGTCTCCCATTCTGCTTTTCAAATTGCAATTGATTAAGCGGCATCTGTGACCACCGTTGTGATTACAGTTTGCTGGTTGTTGCATCTAACCAACTTATCTGTTTTCATGATTCCATGTTTGGTGGTTGAGTCATGATCCTTGATGACCTGAAACGACAATAACCCTGTAGCACATGAAGTCTTCTAGAAGATGGAATATGTTATTCATAAATGTATGTAAGTTTGCAAGGCTTCATTACTTTTAATAATGTACAACCATGTTGTTTGAATATTCTTATTCCAGGAGTTGTGTTGGTTTATGGTTAACCTTCACATTTCTATAAATGGACTGAGATTGTATTCTATGCGTATATCGATTCAGTTTGCTGCATTGACTGAATCAGGACAATAAGACTATGTTCTAATTTCATATGATAAACTGTGTATGCTGCTTATAATGAATAAAGTGATTTCTGATGTCAGATAGGAGCAGCGGACACAGCGATGTCCCCAACTCTACC